AAATGAGTTTTAGCGCTGCTAATCATGCTATATGCTAGGTTTTTTTTTCCAAACTCAATCAGTCCGATTTAAGAAAGGCAGCACAGGGTGGAGCAACAGATCACTTCATAAAATAAACAGTCTGACTGACTGAATGATGTTCAAAGTTTTGGTGTATCAGCCCTAAGGCTAAAACTTCTTATTAAATTCATACTCTCTATATTTTCTGTTCATAATTCTGTGCTCTACAATTTCCAAAAACAACCCGTTTTATTGGTCAAGTCAAAACTCTTGTTTTAGCTAGAGGTTAGAGAAAACCTCACATCCACCTTTCAGCTCCTCACACCTGATCCATGCTTGTTGCTATGGCTGTTTTTTTTCTTATTTACCCATATTTACACGATATGTCTAATCTAGAGTCAGCAGGAGGAGATTTTTGTCAAATCAAAGTAATTGACTCTGTGAAGGAAATGTTGTGCAAAGACTGCTTTGTCCACCAGGTGGTGACAAAATAGGTAAAAACCAGAAGTTCCTCACAGGAGCTTTAACACGAATGAATGAATGAATAATAATAATGCATCAGATTTTTATAGTACTTTATTAGAGACCCTCAAAGCGCATTATATTGGATACATCATTCATTCGCTCACACAGTCACACCCTGGTGGTGGTAAACTAGTAGTCACAGCTGACCTGGGGCAGCCTGACGGAAACGTGGCCTACGGCCTCTCCGACCACCACCACACAACACTCACAACCATACAATAGTGGAGGACACACACTGGGAGCAAGGTGCATTAAGTGCCTTGCCCAAGGACACAACGGACAGACTCTAGATGGGGGGGAATCGAACCGCCAACCTTCCAGTAATCGGATGACCGCTCTATCTAGCCGCCCCTGACAGTAGCTCCGGAAAAATAACCAGTCTTTCTCTGTGAGGGAGTTGTTCTCGGAGTGGATCCCCTCTGTGGGCCTGAACGCACAGGCGGAGGGATACACTGAGCAACAGTGTCATCAGCAAATATGTGTGTGTGTGTGTGTGTGTGTGTGTGTGTGTGTGTGTGTGTGTGTGTGTGTGTGTGCTGTAACTTTGTGGTTATTTCTGTTTTTAAACCCCACCAGTCAGCTCAGAGGGCGGAGCCTCTAAGCCTCTGGTTTGACACGCCCCCACCTCAGTGGTGTCCTGGCGTGACCTAGCGACCTGGATTTAGCCACCCTCTCTTTCTCTCTCTCTTACACACACACACACACACACACAGAGCAGCTGTCCACGTCAGCTGTGTGTATCTGCAGTGTGGTCCATGGTTGTGTATCTGTCTGAGGAAATCGTTTAATTTATGACTTTATTCTGCCCTGACTCTGATTGGCTGGTTAGTCAGCATCTGTCTAAGAAACAGGTAAGAATCATCAGGTAATGAGGTCTCAGGTGCTCCTCTCAGTGACCTTCAGGGCTTGCAGGAGTCGTCTTAGAGGTCAAAGATCACAGCTTAGGCCCCCCCTGTTTAATGATGGGAAAGGTTCAGACTCAGCTGTCTGCACTGTAACCACACTTGGATCTGCACAGGCAGACAGGATCAGAGAGAGAGGACCATCCCTCCACACTGAGCTGGGTGCACTTGGTTACACACTCTGTAATGACGTACTGCAAAGTGGTAAAACCATTCGTCTTTAGCCTCTCATGTACTGAGTGACGTTGAGAGATTCATAATAAAGAACAGTTGGAACAAGCTCTTCAGCCTCTTGACCACTCAGTGGACTGAGAAGATAACTGTAAAAGAAACAAACACAACAAACTGTATTGAGATTAAAACTGATTTTATACAGTAGCATGTCCTTTTTTCATGCTTTTTCATGATTGATATTTATACTTTTCAGATTTAGTCTCTGATGACCAGATTGTACAGCCCCATTGGCTGTAGCAACTGTCTATGAGAAAACACTCAGTCAACTATTATTGATGGCAATATTACTGATCCATACCCTGTTGTGTTGTGTCACAAATTTTGATCTGGTAGTCACACAAATTCATATGTGTCCTCTGAGGTGCCTGATGAGCTGATTGGCTGTATGGCTTCATCATAACTCTTCACCTCTTCCGGCTGTTTTGTTCCCACTTTTGTAACAGTGAGTTTGTTTGGACTTTTGAAAAGGGAAGAGCTGATTGTGGCTGGTAGATCTGGGTAAGTCAGGTGATCTGCTGCTGAGTTTGATGGTTGTTTTGCTTGTGGAGATTGGTTTGAAACTTTGCTTACCTTAACAAGATAACATTAGTCCTCGGATGTAGCCTGTGCTTACGCTGGTAACAGGCAAGTCAGGAAGGTAAAGGGTCCTTGTGTGGTGTTGAGTTCTCCTTTGTAAGCTGAAGTAAGAATAACTGCATTTTATCCCTAAATGGAAATTCAACAGTGGCGCCCCCCCCTTGGGTTTGTCAGGTTGGTGGAGGTAGTGTTGGGATGAAATATGTGGTTTAAGCAGTGCTTGGGAGCATACTGTGGTTTCAGAGGGGTTGCTAGTGTGCTAGTCATCTTAATGATTCATGTAAAATGAATTAGAGCTTAAAAAAACAGGTTGAGGGTGAGCACATCTGATAGAATAAGGAGACAGAAAAGGGACATGTTAGAACTGGAGGGAACCCATCGGTCTCTGGGTAAAAATGGTACGGTGTCCAGGGATGATGAGGGTAAGGTCTTCAGTCTGCTGTGCGCACCTTTGACGTAACTTAGTGCAATTTACGCTTGTTGCCAAAGCTTGATGAGAGGGATCCTGGAGCTTTTTTTTTTTCCTGTATGATCGAGTGGCAGAGATCGGCCTGATGCAGTCTGAGCTGTAATGTTACAGTGTGTCCTGACAGGGAAAGTGCAGTAAGTGTATTGCTCTTGAGCACTAAGGATAGCTGTAGCGATGTAAGGGTTAAAGCTGTGGGGCTGAAGGTCTATGAACTTGTTCCAGAGGCAGATCCACAGCGGTTTCTGTCTTGGGAGAGGCGTCCTGGCGAAACGTCTGTAGAGTTCCACTTGTGATTGGAAATGCTGGTTGTCCGCTCTGGATGTTACAAATTTTGGAGATCTTTGTGGGTTGAAAATGGGCTTTACTTCCACCTCATATTGCCTTGTTTGTAAATGAGGGAAAGGTAAGGACTGTCAGCAGATTGTAAGGTTTTCAGGCTAAAAATGAAAATATTAAATCAGAGGGGAAGCTGCACCTGTTGTTGCCGTTAGTGTTTCTGAAGTACTTGCTTCTGATGTCTGTGAGCCCCTTGTATTGGCTGCTTACGTGCTGTTTATTCGGAATAGTTTTGTGCCTTTGGCAGGTACTGAGTCCAAGGTGCCAATAAAAATCCTGTGGGACACAGGGGTCCATCGTGGACTAGGTACTGCCTTTTTCTAACAAGACAGACACTGGAGACCATATTCTTTGGGTGAGGTAGCGGTTGGAGTTGCCCATAGATGGGATTCCCTTCATTTTGGGCAACAGTTTTGCAGGTAGCAGAGTTTAGTCTGAATCTCAGCCATCTCTTGCCAACTGTTATCCTGTTAAAGTGTGCAAGAGTTGGTCTGAGTTACCTAAGGTCATTGCAGCTTGTATAGTTACCCCTGTGATGAGTTTAGGGTAAGTCTGAGGCCGTAGCTGACAGCTGTGATGATGTTGCAGTGGAGGTTTGGTCGCTGCCTGATTTTCCTCTTGCAGTGTTATCCAGTGAGCTGATGCACGAACAGCAAAGTAACCCTTCTTTGAAAGAGATGTTTGATTGTGTTTTGCCTGCCACAGAAATAAATAGTACAGACAGCTTTATTTCAGGAAGTGGATGTCTGTTCCCTGGTGTTAAAAGTTGCTCACAATGGTTGTGAAAACTTAAGCATCAGAAAAACATATTTGATCATCTTAAAACATTTTTTTTGGTGGCACATCCAGTCCGTAATAAAAAGGGAAAGACAGATGAGGAGATGAAGGACAGTTAAAAAGTTGAGGTGGCTGAAGTAGACAAGGTTATTGTGGGAGGGGGTGAGCAGCTTGTGGAGTGGTTATTGTCCATTTATCGTTATCATGGTGAACTGCAAAAATATTGTGATATTGATTCAAGGCCATATCACCCAGCCCTAGTTTTTTATGCACTTTTTTGCCTTTAATCGATGTTGGTTACTATACTCGGGGTGCAGTAGCTGAGTTGTCATTCCTGGAGACTGTATGACATCTACAGACAATTTACAGTTTGCAACGTTGGTCCAGTCTGTAAAATCTCTGCAGACTTCAGAGACTGTGAAACTGATCGGTAAAATAAGGTTATTGGTTTTTAAGCTGGGACAGAACTTGGCTTACTGGGACACTTAGTCATGGTGTCACTCAGAGATGTCTCACTCTGTCCTCTGTGAGGGGACACATAGCCAGTTTGTGTCCACTTATAGGGGTCCTGAGTGGCGTCAGCAGAGTGTGTGGCTCTGCTGTGTGTAGTTGAGCGTGTAACCTGGTTGTGCAACCTAATTACTTATGTAATGAGTCATTTAAAGAGCTTCATTAATCTGCTGCTGGGACGTGCTGACAGTCAAGTGCAGAGGGTGAGACAGAGACACAAAGCTGTAGGGGTACAGGGTCCATCAGAGACACAACACCCTCAAACAGAGACATCAGACTGAGTCCTGACAAATACTGAGACATGCAGAGACCTCCTCAAACATACAGAGCTATCCTAAAACAGTGTTGGTAGAGTTCCTCTGTCTGTGACAGTAAGCAATGCTGTCTGCACTAACACATGGAAACAGGTGGTTCTGGTCTCCTTTAGGTTTTTCTGGATTTGGGGTCGATTGTCTGTCACCGTGTGATCCAGAGATGAAGCAAATGCAGTTCAGTGTTTTCGGGGCAGAGTGGGAGTGCCCCCACTGACAGCCATGTTTTGCCTATGTGCCTTAGAGTTTCTCTGCTCTCATCAATGCCACATCAAGACCACTGACCAATCAGAATTGAGGAGAGGCAGGACCTCTGATAAGGTTTTTGTCAATAAAAATGGTCTGCACAGGAGAGAAAGTGTTTTTTTTAATAAGGGTTGAGAGCAGCTATCAAAGCTGTGACACCATTTCTATCAGCTGCTTTATGGAAAAATGTAACCCTAAATTTTATGGGAAGCTAGTGTAGAGGAGAATATACAGGGGAGATGTGCTCTACTCTCCTGGTTCTGTCCAAAGTTCAGCTCACAGGTCAGACTTAACATAGTTAGAATTTTAAACCTTTAACCTACAAACCTTAAACTGAGTTTATGCTCCAAATATCAGCTTTTCCAGTAAAACCTCCTTAGACTGAATCCTTCACCTTTGCTTACTGACTTTTACTGAACTAAATATATGACCATCTTCTTTTAAAGAGTCAGAGACAGAGATTCAGTGTAAAGCCACAAAACTCCATGTGACTGACTGATCAGGCTGATGGGGGAAGGTGTTCAGAGTTACATCCACCTCACCTCTCAGCAAACAGACAGCTATAAGTGCAGGTTCTTATCAAAGCACTTTTTCCTGACAAAAAGTTTTGTTGTTGTCCACTTGTGTCTTAGCTCTGCCCACCATAGGTGAGAAAAAGATGCAAGGAAATGAGGAGAGAGAGCCAACAAAAAACAAATAATAATACATTGAATTTGTATAGTGCCCTTTACATCCAAGGATCTCCAAGGGCTGCATGTTAAAAATCAAGAAACATCACAATAAAGGGATAATAAAAACAGGATATAGGGTAAAACAAGAAAGACCTCTCATTAAAAAATAAAAACAATATAAACAGTTTAAAAGGACATAAAAAGTAAAAAAAAAAAAAAAAAAAAAAAAGGAAAGAATCTAAAAGGGGGAACCAAAGAGTTTTGCTAAGAAGGAATGTCTTAAGTCCTTTTTAAAACAGTCAGTGGATTGTGGTGCCCTCAAGGTGTCAGGGAGGGCGTTTCACAGACGGGGGGCAGCAGCACAGAAGGCCCTATCTCCCATGGTCCTGAGTCTGGTTCTGGGGGTAGAAAGGAGGTTTAAGTAAGAGGAGCGAGCAGAGGGAGCGGGTTGTTTTTTGTGAGTTTAGAAGTTTACAACAAGGGAAAGAGATATCCTTTCCTCCAACATGTCACATAAAATGATGCCTGTTTGTGATGTTGGCGTAAACTGATCATCGCTGGGTCTGCTGTCAGTAATCTGTAACAGCTGTTTTTGTCCACGCATACATTGTTAAAAGTGTAATGAAATAACCGTGTTTCAAAAATATCTGCACATGAAAAATAATAATACATATAATATGTATAATATACAGGACAGCAGCCTTAATGCACCAAAAATCATCACAACTAGTGACTGTTTTAAACTCCAATGATGTGAAGTGTCAGTGAAGTCCAGTGTGCTGCAACATCCAATCAGTGAGTGATATTTAGTATGGGGGTGTGACAGTCAGTAAAAAAGACCTAAAAGTAAAAAAGATGTTTATACTGTATGTATTTATATATATGATACCCCCCCTTTAAGTTCTACAAAGTAAAACTGGAAAGGCTAAAAACACAGAATAATATCAGGACAGCAGGAACACAAGGGTTATAATTTTTAAACCCCAATTCCAGTGAAGTTCAGATTTTGTGTAAAACGCAAATAAAAACAGAAAACAGTGATTTTCAAATCCCCTTTCACTTACATTCAACTGAATGCACTACGAAGATATTTGGTGTTCAAACTGATACACTTGACTGCATTTCTGTCAATTTTCACTCATTTTGAATTTGATGTCTACAGCTCATTCCTAAAAAACTTTGGTAAGGGTCTGTGTTTCATCGCCTAAATTTTTTCACAGTCTTGATTGATGGACCAATTCAGCTGATCTTCAGTCCAGAGTCTCAGTTATTTTGCTCGTCATAATGCTCCACACATGTAAGGGCTGGACGATTATGACAAAAATAATAATCACAATTATTTCAGCTGATATTGAAATCATGATTAATAAACACAATTATTCATTCAAAACTTGAGTATTTTTTGACCCACCAAAATTTAACTTTAAATATAACTTAAAAGAACAGCCAGAAATAAATGACTATTAGGTAAAATAAATAAATAAATAAATGAAATAAAAAAATAATAACAATCATAAATTAAAAAACTGATAGCAATAAATATAAATAAATACCCAATCTATGTGCACTCCTGCAAAACTTGCAACATGCAAAAAACACTAATAACACAGCCAAAATCAAAACTCTGAAGGTTTTTTAAAAACCTTCAAAGAGTAAAAAATAAAAATAAAAATACAAGTATCTCAGTTTGAACATTATTTGCAGTGTATTCAATTGAATATAGGCTGAGATGATCTCACATTTTTAAAGTCCCAACTTCCTTATTATTGGGATTTGTACAAAAAAAGAGACAAGGATTCTCATTACAGTGGCGAACTGAGGACAATTTGAATCAGTAATGATGAGTGCACCAGATAAAAATGAAATCTGAAAATGATGAAAAACATTGTCAGAAACGTTTTATCCTATTATGGTAAAGCTAAAAGAATGAATCATTTAGAAGTTAAAGCTCTCTTCTCCTTATGATTACACTACAAACTCAAAATCTGTCATAAAGTGGTCATATTTTACTTATGATGTCAACTTTATCACAAACTATTTATTTATTAGGTACCAGATGTGCTCAGGGCCCAGTGCCCATTAAAGACATCACACTACTGCAAGTCCACTTGGACAAACTACATTGCATTCCATTTAATAAGTCAAAAGCTTTTGTGGGTTTTTTTTATTTTATTTCTGTTTGTTCATTCAGTTAACCTTTGTCTCCATATAATACAGAGAATTATAACTTACTGTAATTTTTAGGTGGCTTTTATTATATATGTTAAATTTTCTAAAGGAAAAGAAAAAAAAAGATGTATGCAGGATCTCTGTTTATCAATAGATGGTTTTGCTTTTATTCCACATATCCTTTGGAAACCTAAAAGAGGTGGGAGTCCAGCTGTCTTAAGTTCCCTTTGAGAAGTACAAAAAGATTGCTTCATAAAATTTGTCCATATTTTCTCCGAAGAACTAGAATCCCATGAAACCTATTCCAGCTGTCTTAAGTTCCCTTTGAGAAGTACAAAAAGATTGCTTCGTAAAATTTGTCCATATTTTCTCTGAAGAACTAGAATCCCATGAAACCTATTCCCACAAAAACTGCTTCCATAATTTTTCTGGACCAACCACAATCTTCTACGTCATCCAACCAACTTCTAGCCCATCAAATAGCGTGGCGTCATCAACAGGCGCCAGGCCACGAGCCAAACTAGCAGCCCGAGCACATCTGGTACCTTCATCAGCATGCAAGCAGCGCCCAGGTCCAGCATGCAGTGCCCACATGATCACAACAACAGTGTGTACTCAGGTACAAACAAAGTAGCAAGGAGTAGGAGTGATGTTAGCCGTGTGGCAGTTTTTTTGTTTAAGTCCAAAAAAGATGCTGCAGCACAAGTTTGTGCCAATATCAGATCAATATCAGTATCCGCCAACACTACAATATCGGTATTGTATTGGAAGTTTAAAAAAAATGCATTGGGAAAACGTTATCACTGAGGGTGGATCATGCTCCCTGATTTACCTTTTAGATTTGGGTGATCAAGAGGCTTTTCCGAAACCCTCCCCCTGCTGCAATCACACCAACCTCCCCTACTTTTGTCTGGACGACACCAACTTAGAGATACTCGTTTAAATAATATAAATGATTATTATCCAGTTACAGGGGCTAGTTCTAAAGCTAGAATAAGAATAAGATAAGGTGAAGGCTTTCCATCTTCTATGCACTGATAGAGCTTTGTGAACTCATGAGGAAGGACTTTAAATCAGACTGATGTGTTTCTATAATTCTGCCTCCTCCTGCCACATAAACAGCAGCCATCTGTGAGCAACACTGTATGCCTGGATTAGCACCTTTTCTCAAATGATACTGTCACAATCAAAGAAATTATGTTCAAACCTGAAAAAAATCACACAGTGTCATCTAGCTGATTTCACAGACGGTCACCTCAGTGCACTTGGTAGATCAGCTTGTTTGTTTGTTTGTTTACACATTTTAACACACACACAACTTAAGTAAGACGGGCCCAAAGACACACCAACAAGTTTGTCCATATCCTGCAGATGCAGCATCAAGACACAAAGATGAAATCTGGGGAGTCATCTTACACCTTGATTTGAATAATGAAATGGCTTAACACAGTCATGACAAACCTCAGCTTCAAAGCAGGCCCATGAGGACACCAGTGATCCAGGTTATCAGGTAAATGATCCGCAGACTGTCTGAGAGGGTCTTCACTAGGAGGCTGCTCAGTTTTTATTGATGAGTTTACATTGATTACTGTCTAATCAGAGTGAATGGTGCATCTCCTCTCTGGAGAATATCTGAGCATGTGCAAACGCTCACATCTGAAGGACACGTGTTGGACTCTCATCGTGTTAGCGGTCTCTCTCTGTGGACTCATCCGTGAATGATGGCAGCTGGCAGAGGGGCGCCGACCCCCGATGACCCAGCCAACCAAAGAGGGGCTGCGTGAGAAAGATGTGGGCGGACATGGACCACTTCCTCTGCAGAACAGATCCTCCATCAGAGGAGACCCTGGAGTCAGGCCGGGTTAGAGAGCAGCTCACAGAGAGAGGAAGAGAGAGAGGGTATAAATCCAATATTTGAAAACTGTTATCATCTATTATCATTAAATACCTTGTAGTATGAGCTGGACCCTGATGCTAAAGCATTTAAACTTTGGATATAGTCGCAATTTGACAACCGCTCATGTTTTAAGTTACTTGGTAAGGATCAGCAGTTCAACTATGCTCTCAAAACACTTTGCTGTCAATGCAAATAATGCAGGACAGGATGTTGCTCCACTTTTCCCTGGAGGTCCAGTATCTCCTTAGACAGCACTCAATTCCAAGCCTGATAACTGTCATTATGTTCCCACTCTGAAACCAGCCTGGGACAATGCACAGTTGAGAAGTGTTGCAAAAATGAGCCGACAGAAATTATTTAGAATTCAATAAAAGATAAAACTCAAACCAAATTAGAAGTTAGTAAAGTACGTTCAAAGTAAAAGCACACTAATGAAAATGAGTTTTTAAAGGAGTTGTAAAGGAGACATGAAACAACAATATAAACCCACACAGTGGCAATATGGAGGTTATTATGACACACGCTAAAAACAAAAAAACTGTTTGAAAAGTCAGCCGTTTTAGGAAAAATCAGTTTAAATGACACAGTTTGTGTGTATTTGCCACCATCTTTGTCCATTGCCTACATCATCGGATTGGTTGCCTCCTGTGACTGCTAATGGAAGTACTAGTAGTAGTTATTATAGCAGTGGCAAAACTACTTCTAATTTGGATACAAGCAGTTTATTTAGGGAAAGAATGTCAGGTTTCTATTTTTGGAGGTTAAGATTTTTGTGGTTTTCCATCTTAAAAGTTCACTTTTCCTTAATTGTGCTGATGCAACTCAGGGATGAACATAAAAGAGGTTTGGGTGACAAATAGAAGTTCCTGTCATGGCAAGGTTAGAAAATAGTGGTTGAACATTTGCTGGATGCATGATTACCTCTCTCTGTTCTGTCAGTTGGTAACACCATTTGGCTCTTTCCTTTAGGCGCACACACTGTGCACAACTTTATGAATTGATTTGTTGATGTTGATTGATGTGCAGCTAAGAAATTGAATTTCCTTTGGGATGAAGAAAGTATGTATGTATGTATGTATGTATCTATCTATCTATCTATCTATCTATCTATCTATCTATCTATCTATCTATCTATCTAATGTCTGTAGTCCCAGTGTCATAAAGAGACAAGTCAAATACAGAGGGAGATGTCGTATTTCCTCCTCTGTTACTGTGTGTAAAGATGTGCTGTTTGCTAGGCTATATTTAAAGGTGGGAACTGAATTCTGGAATAAATAAATAAATCTGAGCTGAACATTGACGTTTGAATCTATGTGTCTCTGTGTTTGGTAATAAGGCACAACCGGGATGTCAAAAAAAGAAAAGTCGACGTAAGAGACTTTCGAAGCCAGAGTGTAAGGACTGCATTACACCCAAAAAGCAAAAAATGTAATCCTGTGTGGTGCATGGTAAAAATACAGTAATGTACAGTAAACATAAGATATACTGTATTAGCCAATATTACTGTAGTGTACAATAACAGTGCTTTCCACTTGTAAAATCCTGCAGTATAGTACCATACTGTAAATATGGCAAATCTGTACTGTAACTCTATTGTACACCACAATAAAGTCTCAATGTAAAACGTAAACAGTAAAAAGTTCTTGTCTCACTGTAAGCTTTATGCATAACACAATGACAGTAGTGCAGATCGTTTAGTGCTGAATTACTGTCCAATAGACACACCTGTTTTCCTAACCAAATGTTTGAAGAATTGAATTGACAGTCTTTCTCCCAACATTAGGCTGCACCATTGGACCAGCCTCATCTGTTCTGATGCCATGATTGACAACATGGTCCACAATTGTAGCTCTAACTTCATCGAGAACCCGCCTATGTACTTTGCTTCTTTTGTTATCATGTTTAAATGTAGGTTGAAACGTCTTCGCCCTGGACAGATGATTGATGCATATAGCATCGTTTCATTCCTTTTTGATGCACTTTTGAAGGCTGTTTTTATTTTTTTCCTTTTCTTTTCTTCCTCTTCGCTTGTCTCACTGCTAGATGCGCTTGTCGCCATGTTTGTGTATTTCTGATACTATGGCAACGAGACTCAGCTCCTATTGGTCCACATGACAAAAATCACTTCACTCCTTTGCATTGTGCGTGTGCAAGTATCACTGCGCCACAGAAAGGAAATAGTTCGACACCGAAACACTGATTACTAAAAATCGACAGGATGGCATGAGTAGATATTTTTTTTTAGTACTAACTATCAATAGAGCTATTTTATGAATCACAGTATATTTTGCACCACTAATGTGGAACGAACCAACACGATCTCACTCAGCCAATACAGCCTAAAAGGGCGATAACTCATATTGAAGAAGCAGATGGTAATATCATAGTTGACTCATTCGAGATTAATAATGCTTTTAAATATTTTTATCAACAGCTTTATAATTCTGAAATCCACACTGATGATGATACTCAAACAAAACTCCTTGACAGAATACATTTCAGAAGAAGATAAGAAAGATTTGGATAAACAACTTAGTATAGCCGAGATTACAGATGCTATTGGTGCTTTGAAAGCTGGTAAAACTGACGGCCTTCCAATTAACTTACACAAACATTTCAAAGATAAATTGATAATCCCCCTCGAAATGTACATGGAATCTTATGATAATGGATGTATATCTGCTTCAATGGGAAAGACTCGAATTATTCAGCTTCCAAAACCTGGTAAAACCAACACTAAATGTGAAAATATGCACCCTATAAGCCTAATAAATACAGATATAAAGATTCGTAGCAAAATCCTGGCAAAAAGGCTAAAAAGCATACTTCCAAAAATTGTGGAAGGCGATCAAAATGGATTTATTAAGGGGAGACAAGGGTTCCACAATGGACGATGTGTTTTTAGTATACTATATAACCAAAAGGAAGAAATGGATACTGCTCTTCTCTCATTAGATGCAGAGAAGGCCTTTGATAGGGTTAAATTGGCCTATCTTTTTGAAGTAATTTCCAGATTTGGGTTTGGAGAAACTTTTTATAATTGGATTAAATTGCTACATTTTAATCCTACTGCTGAGTTCCTCACGAATGAAATTATCTCTGAACATTTCAGCATCACAAGACATTGGGCTGTATTTTTGTGCTTCGCCAGAGACGTGGCGCAGGCGCGGCGTAAGTCAGGTCCGTCGCGCTGACAAGGCATTCCCAAGCACAATTTGGTATTTTGGTGAGTGACGCAGCCCGGCGTAAGTTACCCCCCCCCCCCCCCCCGCTTATTTTAGCTCCTCCCAGTGGCGTAAGCTGTAGCGAGGGAGGAGAGAGGGCGTGGAGTGGGTTTAACACAGCCAAGACCTGTATTGACCAATAACATCAGCTCCTCTCCTCGCCTTTAAATCCGCCACTGGCGAGGCGTATTACAATTTTCGTAAGGTAGTCAAAGAGATCAAGAGATGGCTGAAGACAGTAATGCCACACAATAGCGACAGAGGGCAGCTCCTCAACAAGTGTCGCTGTAAGTGCTGCAGAGGGCGTCCTCCACACTCTCTCATATGAGCACAGATGGATTTGGTGTGTGTAATGTTGGAGCCACTAGTAAGACAAACATCCCTTTCCACAAATAAAGACACTCACATAAAGTTGCACATATTCAAACCTCACGTGACAAAGGTGGGTTGTGCGCAGAGATCACATCATAAATTCCAATAATGGCATTAAAATCGGAACCATCTGTGCGTAATGACGCATCGCGCTCCGTGGCCTGGCTCTTTCTTTCATAGATGTTGGCATATAAAATAAATTTGGCTCACAAAACTGAGTATTATAATATCCGTATGTCGGCTAAAAGTAGATAACTCATCAAATCAAACAACTCATCTGTTCAGCCACCGCAGCAGCAGCTGCAGCAGGACAGAGAGAGGACACAGAGACATGTCCAGGTCAAGCTGCGCGAGAAATAAGAGGAAGAGGAAGATAGAAAAGGAGGGAGACGAATTACATATCTTGTTAACTTCATCATGTGTGTCTATTTACTAGATATATAATTTAATTGAATGCGGTTTTAGCTGTGTTGATTCCGTCGGTTGAGTGTCCGAACGCGTGCCAAACACACTCATCAGATCAGATATAGATCAGAATGTATCTATATAGATCTAAATGTATGTGCTAACTCAGATTAACAGTTGTTAATTATTTATTGCACTGAAATGTGCCTGACACTGTGGAAACCTGCCGGTGAGTCACTTGTAGAATAGATTATTGTAATGCCCTCCTTTTGGTCTCCCCAAAAAGAACATTTCACACCTGCAATGACTACAAAATTCAGCTGCACAGATGTCCAGGACATCAAGGACCAGAAAGAGAGATAACATTACACTGATTTTAAGGTCTCTGCATTGGCTCCCCGTCTCTTTTGGAATAGATTTTAAGATTGCTCTATTGGTTTTTAAAGCTCTTAATGGCTTTGGCCCATCTTATCTATCTGATTTTCTTTTACCTTATGAGCCAGGTCGAGCCCACGGGTCTTCAGGAAGTTCTCTGTTAACATTACCTAAAGTTAAAACCAAGACATACGGTGAGGCGTCTTTTTATTACTATGTCCCCTGTCTATGGAACAGCTTACCTGAAGACCTGAGGACTGCTTGTAATCTCAATGATTTTAAAAGTAAACTGAAAACATACCTTTTTATTCTTGCTTCCCTAAATTTTATATCATTAACTTTGTTGTAGTGTTTTAGCATTTATCTATTCTCATTTTAGTCACAGGATTGTCTTTTATTGAGCTATTTTGGTGCTCATATTTTAGTATCTTTTACTGTTGTTTTTATTTCATTTTATTTATTATTTCTTAAATTTCATTCTCAGTTTCTTTGTTTTTAGATTTTAACCCAGCCTCCAGTGTTTCCTTATCTTGAGTTTTAAAATGATGTTTCCTCAGTGCGCACATTCCACATTCCTGTTTCCACGAAATCAAGCCCTTTTTAAGTTTATGTATTTCAGTACTGTTTCTGTTGCAATTAGATCTTGGGGTGGGAATGAGGGGTTGGGCTGGGGTAGATCTGGGTATTCTTTTAATCTTGGGTTGAGGTAGATTTGGGTATTCTATGTTTCTTTCATTCCTTTTTCTGTGTAAAGCACTTTGTGCTACAAGTTGTGTATGAGAAGTGGTATATAAATAAAGACTGATTGATTGATTGATTGATTGATTGATTATTAAAAAAAAAAAAAAAACTCAAGATCTGCAAGTTGCCTAAATAATCACTGTCTAAATAATAAAGGTCCAGGTCAAGTAGAAAGTCTGAAGAATATAGGTCTTAAAAGTCAAGGTCTACGTCCTGTAAGACAACAAAAAAATAATGGGTCTGGGTCTTTTTAGACGTCAAAGAATAACTCTTAAAATAATTAAGGATATGATGTTATAAAAAATAGATCCTATAGAAAATCTAAAATGAATAGGTCTGGCTTCTGATAGATCTAAAAAAAATGGTTCAAGTGATAAAGGTCCAGGTCCTGAGAGAAATCCAAAAATTATGAGCTAGGTCTAACTGTCCACAAAAAGTGTCCTGAGGCAAGACACCAGACCCCAACCTTCCCCTCTGGCTGTGCCCAGTGGTGTGTGAATGCACCATGGTCCATTTGCTAGAGCTTGTCTGCCTATCAGAAAGTGAAGGAAGACACAGATGTACTCTGCTTCAGTTCAGACCATAAGAAAACCTGAAAGCTTCAACAACAGTGTTGTCTTTATTATTTAGTGTAAATGTAGACCTGAATACCTGAAACTTATCAGGTGTATCACAAGAGGAGAAGGCTGATGCAACTGCAGAGTTCATATGTTCAGTATTTAGTCTACAGCGCCCCCCTGTAGTAAGAGTCTGTAACAGCAGACTGGTTAATCTGACAGCTTTTATACAGATCACCTGTTTTTTTATGTTTCCAGGCCTGAATCATTGATAAATTCTGAAAAACTAAAGCTCTTTTAAAGAGGTTTTTATTTCCCTTTGGTTATAAAAACAGACACAGTGAATACATTCTCTATAACTCAGAAAAAACAAACAAGACTTTTTTCTGTACCATTATTTTCAGAGTCTGCATCTACTTGTTTAATCCCAATAAATCTGTCAATTCTCCAGCAGTTCATTCAAAACAGAGTGAAACCTCCAATAGGAGATCTCTGACCTCTAAACTCTGACCTGGTCTGTGTTTCAGGTGCTATGAGCCACATAACCACACCTGAAGGATTGATGGTGACAGTAAAATCTGTGGTGGAATTTATCTGGGGCAAGGTGGAGCTTTTGAACACATCGTATACCTAAGAGGAGAGAAAGTAGAGTTTAGAGGTTTATGGAAATAATATATATATATAAACAATAATTTTCTACTATCCATGTTTTCTATTCAAACACTGCTGTCAGTGTGAAATGAGTCCCCTTAACTCATAGAGGAAGAACTGACCTGATAGACTCCGGCTGAAATATTGAGTTTGGACAGACAGGTGCTGTACCGGTAAGGCATGTCCCTCCTCAGACTCAGAAAGACCAAGGCAATGTAAGAGTGAGATAAAGGCCTCCAGAAGACCTGGATCCCACTCTTCTCCTGTTCAGCAGAAACATACAGGGTTCAATGTTATTTATGTTTGTAACGGCAGCTGATGGTGGCACAGCAGTTGTGATGGTGGCCCTGACCTTTAACAGTCTGCGTCCCTGGAAGCCTGCAGGGTCTTGGTTAATGGCGATAACCAGTTTGTTCTGCAGGATGGCCCTCATAGCGGGGTCCAGGTCTCTGAGGTCATTAGACATGATGAGGGGGGAAGCCATAATGGCCCACAGTGCCATCTGAGAGCGAGCCTGGTCCACGCTGAGACCAAAGTTGCCGATGATCAGCTGCAGAGACGTGGGCAGATTCTGACCATCAGCAGTCATATCACTCACCTACCAGTCTTTAATCTCCATGTTGTAAAATCAAATTTAACAGCGATAAAAACATGTTTATATCTTGGATCAGAAACAGTTATAGTCTCTGTAGACTATACTCTGTCTCTGTCTCTTAATTCACCTGTTTGCATCAGATTAAGGATTCAACTCACCTGTTTATACCAGATTAAGGATTATACTCAACTGTTAATACCAGATTAAGGACTGTATAGTACACTGAGATTTAGGCTCTCTTGTTGGCTGTCTGATGTTGTTAAATTCTAGCTCTGGCTGAGATTAGCTCATGTTTGAGCCTGAAAAACCCTACAAACACTAAGACCCATCTTTATGTGGTCTGACGATAACACTCCAGTGTCTCTGTTTGGTAAAGAACTGACAGAATCACTGACTCAGACAGACCTACCATGTCCGGATCGTTCCAACGTCCAGGTCCAGCAGCCGGCTGCAGGTCGTCCTGGTTATTGAAGAACCAATCAATGATCCCCTCAACACTATCCCATGAGTCCTGGATGTCAACATAGTTCCTCCACAGGTGACAGATCTCACCTAGCAAAGTGTAGTTTATCTGCAGGGTACAGGTTAATACAGGGCAAAAATATACACCTATTAATTTGTTAATCAATCAATCAATTGATATATCAGTATACAGTACTAATAGATTATTTTATCCATTTACAGAAACTGTGAGGACTTTTTAAATGTTTTTTTTTTATATTAATTGTATCATTTTTATATATGTACCTTGTGATCATGCTATTTTTTTCCCCCTTAATGTACTCTGTAAAAAAAAGTGGTCAGGTTGGATTTTCCCAGAAGAAGAACACAGAAGGACATACTGAATACTGAATGTATGCACAGTTTCAATTTATGAGGCAAACATATGTTGACATAATCTTTAAAAATAGATGTGAACTGCTCAAAAAAAGAGAGCCTGCCCAAAGACACCAGACTATGCCTACGTAGGTACTATAGTCTCTCCTTACTAGTTCAACTGTGCCTCTGGCAAAGGTGACCGGCCTGCCTCCAACAGCGTGTCAAGTGACACTCACAGTGAAGTGGGGTGACGCTGCTGCTCTACTGATTGACCACCATAGAGGGGGTGGGGCCAAAACATTGAGCTCTGCCCTTGGCCAGCCTTCAGAAAGCTTCAAGAGAGGTGGGCTTTCAGAAGAAAGTAAGCTTGTGATAGGGGCTGAAATAATGGTATTTTAACACACCAGAGTGAGAAACATGAGGCTTTTTTTGATCTGAAAATCATGTCAAGCTGATTCAAAATGCATAAGACCCCCTCTTTAAATAAGTATCCATTCTTCATTCAGTTGGTTTCAAAACAAATGCACACTTAGGTGAAAGTGATGTCTGTATGACAGTGAGTGATGGAGCTCATAGGAAATGGCATCTTTGTTTTAGAAAAAGCACAGATTCCATTCAGAAGTGTGGAATTGATGTGGAATTCAAATGGGAATAGACAGTGCTCAAAAATGACTTGGATAAGCCAGCATCAGTGAAGCTCTCCGGTGCTGACTGCATTAAAAAACTCTGGCAGTGAACACAGGCCCTAAATCTGCCTCCATAAGGATACTTACATCAGGTGGAAGACCTCCTTGGTACACAGGCCAGCTGCAGGAGTACACTATGGGTCTACCTGTAGCATTCAGAGCTTCTGACATCACAGGGTAACCTGAGAATGACCAGAGATTGCTCTGCATGAGATTTCTTATGAGACGAGCACATTTTCCTATCTGTCTCATGAGCATACATGTAAAGCCAAGGGCAGCAGCAAAGACCCTATGGTAGTGTCCACCAGGGTCTGTCTCCTGTAGTGAGTTAGTCCCCATAGCGCCCCACGTTAGCACTGTACAGCAGAAATAAACATTTTTACAGCCTGGTACAATAACAATGAAGGTTTCTAGAGTTTTTCTTTGTTTAATTCCATCATTCTGACCCAGAAACCATTCACACCAAGCACAGATAAAATCATTTACTCACTTAATTCACGCAAATGACTCGCTCCATCCATGTGTAAGTATCACGTCTGCAGAGTAATTGCAAAAGAGGAGAGAAAGAGAGGAGGCGTTCCTACAGGTCAGGTCAGTCTGTTTACATCAAACATCGTTGATGTTGATCACATTGTGAGGATCTGTTGAGTTTCAGACCTCCTCACTCACTTTCCTCCAGGTTAGCTCTTTTGTACTCTTGTCTCAGTGTCATAGATAAGTTGTATACTACCGCTTACATGGCCGCATATTGGGGTGCATACCGATCTACGATATGATTTACCCAGTTAGCGCTACAAGTCCACACAAATAGTGTCATTCATGTCACCCAAGTAGAATGTGCATCTAATCACATCTTTACATTGACTTGATATATAATATACATTTTCTGAGATACTGACAAGACTCCAAAAATTCTGTTTAAAAAGTTTTAGTCTTAGTTAAAAAAATTTCATAGCAAACTTAAACAGTCTTGAATGTCAGTAATGTGTGGTTTTACTGAGAACTGTGTTGATCTTAAGCAGTGCTGAAAAATGAAACTATGAAACTAGAAATAAAGTCATAAGAACTGCAGCTCCTCCACTATCCACTAGTGCCTCTCTCCAAAATTTATTTAATCCCATTGAAGTCCCCAACACAGGCTCTTTCTCCTCTCTCCATTCATTATGGAAACCTTCCATGTTGGAACAAGAAGCACATTTTTGAGTGATAACACCTGCAGTTCCTCTGCTGTCCACTAGAGCCTGTCCCCTGCAGTAAGTAAGTCCCTATAGAGCCCCATGTTAAAGTGTCCAACTTCACAGCAGAAATCATCGTGCTTACAGCCTGATACAGAAAGCTTTTTGGTCTCTACTGTTGTTTATCACCAGTCTTACCTGAGTGAGACCAAAGATAACTTGGTAAGGAGTGAGTGATCTCTATCAAAGCGGGTATACTTTGTCACTGTCTGTAATGTGAAAAGTGGTCAGTAGGGGTCCCCACCCAGCATGTGTTCCACAGCGTTTGAATAACATCCGTCAAACTTCAGGTAGTCCACCCCCCAGCTGGCAAATGTCTGAGCGTCAACCTGGATCTTATTGAGTGGTGTCCCCGGGAATCCCATACAGGTGTGAGTGCCCAGGTCAGCATAGATCCCCAACTTCAGCCCACGGTCATGAACATACCTGGCCAGTCTGGGAATACCTCCCGGAAACCTGGAGAAAACACGCCCTTTCAGATTGAGTATAAACAGCTGAAAGAAATATGATGGCACGGTAAAAACACAAAATGTAGCTTTAAATGTTGACATGCAGAGAGATCTCTGCAGCCACGTGACAGAAAATAGACCCTATGCTTGAGGGACAGGTAAACACTTTACACTGCCTGAACTCCAGATGGTTTTTGATTCTTCGTATGACTTTACTTGATGTGTTCCCTCTGCAGATCTGTAGATATCACTTAAGTTAAACAGGATAGAAACACTTTGGAATCGGAAAATCTTGAGTGCACCACTTGGGTGTGAAATTAGTGGGTAACATCTTTTACATCAGATTACGTAATAATTAACTCTTTGACCCGCACCAAACCTGGACGTGTTGTAGCTGCACTTGGTCTTATTTATACGTGTTCACATGGACATTAGTGGAGCCCTGGGTGTCACTAAATGACACACTATGCTCAAAACGTCCATTAAAATATCTGAAGGATAACACCAATGTAAAGAAACAAAATACAGATAGTGAAATACTGAAACCCAGATCATTCAAACATCCTGTCTGAGAAACTTTCCACCCATCCTGAAGGCATCAGCTCCTGCAAGGCCGGGAAAGAGCTGAGTTTCTGTCTGGTATGATTGTTCTTAATCTGAGTCAGACACAGTCAAGCCTTTAAATCAGCTCACTCTCTCGCCTAAAATAATAATTTAAAAAAAAACCTCTGCCATCATGTTTCATTTTAAGTTAATTGTTTTTCCCTTTATCACCTTCAACGCGCAGAAGAGACATGCACCTGTGCCTTCTTCATCATAAAATAAAATGTAACCCTATAATGTAAAGAGGGCGTTGGTCTACCTGGTGCTCAGGGTTTTATTTCTAGTCTGTCCTCACTTTCAGCACTGTAAGTAAAATGTAAGATTACATCAAGGTGTGTGCCCAGCTGGTGCATGCTGTCCGTCCTCACAGGGAGATCTTTTAGAGTATCATGGGGGGGGGGGGTACGTTTCTGAACCACTGAGCAAACAATCTCACAGATGCTCATATCACTGCTATGAAGATAAAACCCAGCTCTTCCTATTATTCCCTCCAGATGACACACCTGTTTCAGCCTGAATCTCATCATGCCTCAGTGATATTTCTAAATGGATGAAGGAACTCCACCTACCTAAGCTCAACCTGTCCAAAAATAAGCTTCTTGTCATTCCAGACAGCCCCTCTTTAAAACCACATCAGTATCCAGTTTGGATCAAATGAACTTGTGCCCACTTTGTCTGCTCTGAACCTGGGTGTCATGATTGATGAACACCTAAACTTTAAGGTTTATGTGGCTTTGATTGCCAAGCCATACCGATTTGCCCTCTGTAACATCAGGAGGGTCAGACCTTACCTGGCTGGCAGAGCACACAACACAGCTCCTGGTATAAGCTCTTGTAACATCAGCCATTGACTACGGCAACTTCTTACTGGCAGACCTCCCTGCGTATACAATCAAACCTCTTCATATGGTCCAGAATGCAGCAGTCCATCTGGTTTACAACCAACCCCAAACAGCACACGTCATTCCACTGTTTATCTCCCTTTACTGGCTTCCAGTAGCAGCCTATAAAGCTCTAATTCCTGTTGTCCCTCATGCAGGTCTACACTCCTTGCCACATGCTCTGCTAATAAGGTAAGTTACTGACCTGACTGGGTCTGGCTGTAGCCTGCCCTCCTTATCTCTTTGTGTAGACATCCAGCAGTCATCAATGATCAGATACTTGTATCCCAGCTCTCTCCATCCGTCTTCAGACAGTCGGTCAGCCATGTCTCTGAACAGCTCCTCACTGTAGACACAGGACAGGAGCAACAACGGTAACCTTTTCCTCAGGTGTCTAAATTTTTTTAATAATTTAGCAATAATCAAAATGAGGTAGAAGAGAGTGCTGTCAGGTTTTAAACCCTCTACCTGAGGAAACTTAACAGAAACACCGCGAATGCATGTTGTGTATGAGTATTTCTTAGTGAGGAGGATTTCAGCTGAGATCTGAGATTTAGCTGTAGGACCAACTGGTTTCAGTTCACTTCAGTTGACTTCAAATGTATATTTTCACTCTGACCTGCTCTGACTGTAAACAATGGGTTTTCTGTCCCTGTTACTCTCTTTGACTGTAAACTAAATACTGTCTCTGTAGCTTTAATGTAACCTCTTTTCTCTCATAAGTGCTGTGGCTTACTCTGGAATTGATGTCTTCACAGCTAAGCCATAACCTTTTTTGTCACCTCTTTTTGTCCTTCAACATAGCCCAGTCCTTTTTCCAGTATTTCTATCTGTTCTTCACTCTGCTGCTCAAATCTGTACGCTTTTAAATACTAATTTTCCTTTGTCTCTTTGTTTTCATTGGTTTAGTGTCTTTGTTTTAGTCTGTCCCATAGCTTGTCCGTCTGTCTTTTCCTCAGTCTCTCCATGTGTCGGTCTTTCTCAGTTGTTTAGTTGGATTTTGTTTTGTGTCTTATCTCGCTGGATAGTCCCATCTGTCTCTGTGAGGACACCCAGTTCAAAATACTGAGTAACCAGTTGCCTGACAATACCTTATGCAGTTCTTGGGGTTGTCTGTGCAGTTTGTCTCACAGCGAAAACGCTCCCAAGCCATCCAGCCCATAGGGGGTGTCCTTGCCAATCCATCATCCCGAGCACTAGTCATTGAGACCAGAACCAGAAAAAAGAGCCGGGACACCACTGAGGATCCCATTACTGACAGGAAACATGAAGAAGAGATGGTTAGAGCAGCAGTGTTACAGACTTATCACCCTTACCTCTAACCAACCCCACGTTTCTTCATTGATAAGAAGTCAAAGTTCCCTCAGGTGGGTCCAGTTCACCTCAAAACTCCCTCAGATGGGTCCAGTGCACAGCAGCACAGCTTCTTGTGTGGATTTGAAACAGGCATTATGGGGAGTGCAGTGACTCGTGTTTGTGTTTGTTCCATCTTTACACATAGAGGAGGTGGGGTTTATGTCATACAAACCTCACCCCTCCTCTGACCGCTGATGGCCAGTAAGGGGCTCTAAATATTTTGGCCTATCATGTTGTCCACTCAGACTGTGAACTGAAAGTGTGTGGTTGGTAAACAGTTTTAGGGTAAGGTGTGTGTTCAGAGGGTTTAAAGTGAACTTTGTCCCGATCTGTAAAATCCCTCTATAATCACTGTGGGAGCGGTTGAGTCCACAGGTTAGAGATAATAACACCAATAACAGCATTTTAGAAATAAGGACAGGGGTTGGCTGTTTCCTCTGGATAGAGTTTCTAATGCATATAGCATTGAGCTGTTAGAACAAGGTGCATGCTGGGATATTCACGCTCACAGTCTAGGTTAGATATGGATCAGGTACTGTACTTAGCCTAAACCTTCTACACCTGTCACAATTACCACCTAAATACCTTTACCATAATCAACACCTTCAACCCTTGTAATATGCTCAGACCTTAATTATATTCCTTTATTAAAAACGTCAATAACCCTCCCACGATCAAAACCCCCTAAACCTGTAACATAATGAACACCTTAAACACCGAACAACTTTAACACAGGCAATTTGACCAGCTCACGCCAGCTTAATCTTTAATCTACAGCTACTTAGTCTTACTATTCACACATTGCAACATGAATTACACACACACACACACACACACACACACACACACACACACACACACACACACACACACACACACACACACACACACACACACACACACACACAGAGGAAAGGGATTGTTGCATTGGTAAACAATGAAAATTTGAGTGTGCCACTTTCTCAAAAAACAAAAAAAATAAAATAAAAAAAAAATGTGTCAGACACTTTGTGATGGTACTGATGATTTATAATGTAAAACACTTGTCTTCATCAGAGCTTGTGTAGGTCAGAGGCTTGCACACCGCTGATGAGTTTTATCTAATAAAGTTAATGTGTTAACCTATGTTCAAGAGCAAGACTACACCTTTCTCACACCTTCAATCACCTCACTGACCTACTTATACACAGCCATCCCACTCCACTCTGTTTGTTTGCAATTCTTTGAAAATAGGCAGACCATGCACCAAACATTGACGCTTGCTTGCATCAAAGAAAACAAAGTAAAACCAGTCGACGAACTATCAGTGATTGATCGCCCCACATGGAATACACATCCCCAGCATCAACAGCGTCATGTCCAGATTTTTCTATGCAATATGCATCAATTGATTATGCCATCACTCTCAAACATCTAGCAGGCTCAGGAGCCTGGCTCTCCAAAGCAGACATCACAAGCGCATTTAAAGTGCTACCCATACACCCCAACTTCTGGTGTTACTTTAGAGTCTGCTGGAAAAGAGCCTATTATCTTGCAGTGCGCCTCACTTTTGGCTGCCCCAAGATCTTTGACTCCCTCTCTGGAGTGCTGTGCTGAACCCTGACCAACAACTACAGACTTCCATTCATCTCCTCATGTAAAATAAAGCCCCCCATTTCACAATCTCTTTCCCTGGAAAAATAAAACTCAAGAAAACAAAGTTTTGTTCCTTACCTGTGAAGCTGATCATGTTCTTCTCACGTTCTCCCTGCTGCCTGTATGTTTATGTGCGCATGTGTGTATGTCATATACAGTATGTGTGTGTGGTCTGTGTTAGTATGTCTGTGTTCTTTCCCCTGTCCTTCCCTCCTGTTTTTTTCACTTCCTGGTTAGGTAAAGTCATGTGACTGCTTGTGTCACATGACCAAACAGAAAGCAGGTTAAATTGAAGTAAATCACTGAGGAGTACATTAAGAAATGTTTGCAGTTTGAACTGGTGTGTGTTCAGAGTGTTTTTATATTTAACGGTATAGTGTAGATCATTTCTGTGTCTAAATCAAGATAGATTAACAAAAGTGAAAAAAATTAAACTTGGATTTACAAACTTTGATTTTTAGTCAGCTGTATAAACTCAGATTTAAATGTTTGATATTAAACTGCACTCTATCAACAGATCAATCTGGTGTGACAGAAGAGTCAATGCGTCTAAATATTTCAGTCTTGTCCTACTGTCTTCTAAAGAAATTTTCACAGATTATTCTGCTTCATAAAAACAGTTTGTAAAGTAGAGAGGGTTTGAAGACGTCAGAGGAAACGGCCTTACGCCACTATGTGGCAGCAGTGAGCACACATAAATCATACAGTATTGTGGGTTTTAGACTGCGCTCTGTAAATTTCTGATGTCCATTTTGTATATTTTCCAACTCTGCAAAGGAGTTTAGACTTAGTGCTAACTCGGCCCTGATGGTGGCGCTGTAACACCTCTGTACTGCAGTTCAGACTGAGCCCTGGCCCAGACTCTGGATGTTGGGGTCAGTTAGAGGATTTTTGTCCTTCAGTGATCAGAGTGAAACATCCTCTTATATGTATGTGTTTTCAAGTCCTCCTCTATCAGGATCTGCAAGTTCAGGTCTTTCCAAGAAAATTCAGGTTGAACCACATTCTGCACCTGACTGCTGATCTCATGATGGCGAGTATGTTGTGAACAGAATGGCTCAGTTTTGAGAAAACCCTCATGTGTTCACTCTGAGCTGTCCTTCTGGAATTAAAGTTGTAGAGTTACTGATCTTTGTGTGCTCTGTCTGATTGCAACTCCTCTGAGGGTGATTCAGGAGTTAGAGACTAGCATCCAGTCTGAGACCTGCTGACGGAGGTTAAATGATCCACCATAAATAGAACATTAGGCAGGTGGATTCATACAGATATCTGGGGGTTCACATAACTTAAGCTGGCGCACGCAAGTGTCAAGTGTTTGTTCCTGAATCCACCGGCACATATAATTTCTCCATCCACTCAGAGTGTTTGGGGGATGTATGAATATTATGTTGATTTTCTACAGGGGAACTATTGAGTCTGTGTTATGGTACAGCATTACAAGCTGGTTCAGCAACTTAACTGTTAATTAAAAAACTTAAATACTACATCTGACAAAAACAGCAGGCAAAATCATTGGTATGGCAGTAGGCTACCTGTAACTCCCAAATACCTGTTTGAACAAACAATCCTCAGACTTACAGACAATATTTTATCGCATACATCTCACTTCACTCTGAATATGTTTCGCTTAACTCAGGTAGGAAATACAGAGTTCCTCTTTGTAAATGTAAGAGATACAAACACTTGTTTTTTCCACTGTCAGCGAAGCTTATAAATGAGCAGACTGCTCAGGTTAGACCATAGACTGTATGAACTATGGACAACTTGGTTCCCCCTTCCACCAGTATACAGATCTGAAGCCAAAAAGCTCTCTGTAATTCCGCATTTTTCTACACTTCCTGAAATATTGCGCAGTAGCATTGTATGCACTCCACTACTTGTGCAGTAGCACTGTGGCATTTGGCTGGAGAGTTGCAGAGAGTCCCTGTGATGACGCTCGGCTCAAACAGCGTAAACCTGGATGAGCTACGCAATCTTTGTACGCCCATAGGCTGTATCAAGTGTCAATCATAGAAAACATGAACCCCCTAATAACTTTTAAAAATAGAGCTGTACAGAAAAAAAAGGACTTAAGCACAAACCAGTCTTATAGTAACTACATGTCAACATCACAAGCAGGGGGGAGAAAAATTTATATTCTGTGAAATAAATTTCTAAAGTTTATTCACAGCCCCATAAGGATGGCTGGTGCAGGCAGGATTTATGACAGCCCTTCAGAGTCTAGGGTCACGTGATGCTAAAATTGGATGAGATGCTGGTTTGTATTTTTTCTATGCCTATGTAATTTTACACATTTCATTTTATCGTGGAATTGTTTTTCTACCAACTCTGGATGCATGAGTGAAATGTACTTTATGTGCTGGCTGTGTTAACTGCCCAGCAGACCCCTCTGCCCAAGACAAATTTCTCCTGAGGGAGACAAATAAAGACACTTTGATTTGACTTTGATAAAGGAACGGAGTACAGTGGATCCCCCGTGCTCTGAAAAATTGGACAGACATAAAGAGTGATCTGCTGAGACTGTTTGAGACAGGCTGAAGCACAGACAGAAGACCGATTCACAAACAGACAAACTGAAAAAGCTATTTTTATTGATGCATCAGAGATCACATGATTTCTGTAGTCACACCTGTAATCTGTTCAGGTTGTGCATGTTCATAATGTGTCCTGTGTGAAGTTCTTGTAGTTAAAATGGGTTGGTCATAGCGAACACATACGCTGCAGGAATCTGCAGTCCGATGTTGACCAGGTGCCACTGCCCCAGCCCCAGAGCCCCCAGGACCAGCCCTGACACAGTTCCCAAAGTCCCTGACCATGAAGACCACGCCCCTGCCAAAGCTGCAACACCTCCCACTGAAACACCTGCTGCTCCCACCCCACCCAGTAGAGCCCCTGCCCTCCCCCCTACCCCAAGTACTGGACCTAAAAGCTCTGCCCCGGTCAGTAACCCCCACGCCACAGTGGCTGCTCCCACTATTACCCTAACCTCCCCTGCTGCCTGCCTCACCAAAGCCCCGCCCACTGTGGCCCCAAGACTCAACTGACACAGCCTGGCCACAAACACACCGGCATTCAGAGCCTCCACTGCCGACTGCAGGTTCATTCGATTACTGATGTTCTCTTTGGACTGATTCGTCCCTGCTGCCTGCGTCTTCATTGCCTTGGTAACCACCACCTGACCAGCATGCAGCGTGAGCATGGCAATGACAAAGGTGGCGATCATTCCCATACAGCCCACCAGCATCCAGAACTTAAAGTCTGAAGACTTCAATAGCAGGAAGGCAAAGACTGTCACCAGAGCCAAGAGCACTATGAACACCAGCTGGTGACTACCGTATCCAAACACTCCAAACCCTGATGTTACCGCAGCAACCACTGTCATTGGGATTCCAGAGAATGCTAGGAAGTCCACATGTTTGACCACCACAGTGTTAATCCAGTCCTGGATGGTCCGTTGCTCAGTCTCCGCCTCCTCCTGCTCCCTCTTCTTCCTCTCTCTCTCCTCTCTCTGATGGCGCTCAGCAGCCCACTTCATCTTGAGGTCTGCCCCTGCTCCACCCCCTCTCTCCACACTCAGGATCCTCTGCTCCATGCGCTCCACCTCTCTCTGTCTCTGCTGGGCTTCTGAGATCTGGTCCTGCCCCCTTTCTCTGGTCCAGACTGTGGGCCCCAGGGTGCAGCAGACGCCACTCCCCCACAGTGACTTAAACACCAGGTGAAGTGGTGGTTTGAGTGCCGTGGATACGCTCAGTGCCCACAGCAGGCCCACCATGCCAAACCCATTCACTATCCACTCGATAGCGACCCCCAGAGTGGCTCCACTGATGGTGGTCCCGATGGCCCCAGCAAGTCCTGCAGACACCCAAAGACTGGCAGAGTCAATATGGGAGGGCAGGCAGGTTCCAGAGGCCATGAACATTGAAGCTATAAGGGCAGCAAGGATCACACCGGCCACCACTGAAGTCATTGCCACGCTCAGAGCCGTGGCTCCTACCAATGTCCCCAGACCCAGGGCCCCAACAGTCCTCACCTCCTCCATCACAGGCTTCAGAGGCCCTGCTGCAGTCAGAAGGGACAGGGCTCTGTCCACTGGGCCCTCAGTGGCCCCCAGTATGCAGCCTCCTACAGCTCCCAGTGCAAAGCCAACAATGGCCTCCATAGACCAACTCCCAGCACCTGGAACAAGAACAGACTTGTTAACACCTGAAAATCAGAGCTGGTACTTGTACCTGGTGAAGGTTCCTAGTCTCTTGAAAATTCACTGATAAGAATCAGAAGCATTAAAGACAGAATCAGCCAGCTTCCTGAAACAACCCTTTGCTTTTTGACCCTGACCCTATGATGACAGTATTTTAGACACTGAAATAATCTAAACACTGTGTGTGTGTGTGTGTGTGTGTGTGTGTGTGTGTGTGTGTGTGTGTGTGTGTGTGTGTGTGTGTGTGTGTGTGTGCATGCGTGCGTGTGTGCGTGTGTGTGTGTGTGTGTCTGAAAGTCAGCAGAGCATGAACAGACCAGTCCATCAGGTCTAACAGAGCACTCTGACTCTTATCTGCTTCCAACCTGAATGTCATGCACCAAAAATCCCAGGGGACAGAGACAAAAGAGAGATCAAAAATTAAGGGACAGAAACAAATAATAGAAACAGAGTAAAAAGGACAGAGACAGTGATCAAAAGAGGGACACAAGGAGCGGGAAGCAAGGCAAAGAAACAGAGACTCAAATGACAGAGGTCAAATGACAAAGACTGAGAATAAGAACTAGTGGATGAAGAGCAAGGGACAGACACTGAGTGACAAAAAGAACTTTAATGAGACTGTTACATTTACCCCCTAAAGACACTCAAGTTTATACAATGGTCACTTGTGGGAAACTAACAAAAACTGTAAGAACAAAAAAAAAAAAACGGTCTTAGATTATTAAAGGAGGCAGTGTTTTTTTCCACATTACCACCATCTAAGTCAATTAAAATGATAAAAAAAAATAAAAAAAACAGACTCAAAATAAGGATAGGTGTGAGTCATTTTCCAGTAAGAGGAATCAAAAATATTTTGATTTCAACAAACTTTTCTCTTTTTCTTTAAATGTACACTCAAAGAGAGAGCCAACTAATGGTGTTGCTGATTACAAACAGCTATCAGCTATCAGCAGCCATACTAGGTGCACCAAGTTTCCCTCATCAAGCAGAGTTAATTTCCCTGAGTTTTTTTGGGGGAAATTAATTACAGATCTAAGTATTCATAACAAGGGACACAGAGTGAGACTGGGAGACATAGGCCAAAAAACAGCTCCTACCAGGGGGAAAAGACAAACAGAAACCAAGCGATAAAGACTGGGACCAAGGGATGGAAAAACAGACCAGGGGAAGTGTCCAAGGAATAAAGATCAAAACCAAAGGACAGAGACAAAGGCCAGGACACAAAGACCACACAACAAAGACCCAGACCAAGAGACAAATACAGGCATGATAAACAAAGACAGATTGAGGCCCTGTTTATACGCACCCAGTTATTTTTAAAAACAGAGACATTTTTTGCACCCTTCATTTAGACGCAAACTGAGAACAATGCTTTTTAATAACTTCTTCTCGAGTGTAGATTTTGGAAAACTCCGTTCGCACGTTTGCATGTAAACAGAGAAAAACTGAGTTAAACTGAGATCTGGGTAGCCGACAGCAGATTGTGGGCTAGAAACTGGGTGAAATGCGACATTGTTTACAATCTACAACCTATGTTTACAATCTATGGTGATCATGGTGCGCAGAATAGCAGCAGCATTTATACTGGTGCAATCCCTTTGTATTTGATTGCATTTGCATTTGCATCTTTTCTAAAAGAAGGAAGTGATGTTGTTGTTGTTGCTGCTGCTACGCAGGATTCTGATTGGCTAATGTGGGCTTGAGATTCTCGCTACACTGCCATCTACAGGTTTGGCATGCTCTTGGTAGTTTATATACAGGGGTTAGTGTAAACAAAACTTTTCTAAAAACATAGTGGTGTGCACACAGTTTTTTTTTTATTTTTTTAAAGGAAAAGATGGAATGTCAGTTTATGAAACTAGCCAGGCACATGTAAACAAAGTCTGAGACCAAGGGACAGCAACGGACCCAAGCTGACAAAGTCAAAGAGATAGAGTCAAAGTGACAGAGAGAGTTGAAGACCAGGTACAGAGACAGTACTTCTTGGAAGAGTTTGACTGATTTGACTACACACATTTTAATATGTGTAAACACCCACACGCACACACACAAACACACACTGTGCTGACGGTGTAATAGTCTTGTGATTGTGTCTCTACATGAAAGAAACTCACCCACTTTGATACGTCTCATCCTGCCCTGATGTTCTGATAAATCTTAATGATTCTTCAAGTGTCTCGAAGAGTCCTGGAGAGTCCTAACGAGTCCTGAATGGTTCTGGGTGATCCTGGAGAGTCAGTCTCTGTGCAGACCTGCTCCCCAGTGAGCTCCTGAGTGAATGTGTGTGTGGGTGAGTGTCACATGTGTGAGTCTGTTTATATGACAGCACCCAGGACACACACCCAACTCACACAAACACACGCCTGTCACACCCACGCTTGCAGTCTGACACACCTGACCGGTTTGAATGGCCCTGTAGGTGACCTGCTATAATCTGGAACAGGATCTCTGCTCCTCATGAAAGGCAGCATTCTTGCACCACCTGCCAACATCCCTCCTCCCCCTATCCTCCCTCATCTCACCCACACACCTAATATACAGTTTTTCGTTTTTATACACAACAGAAGACCCTGAAATTCCATCAAATCATTTGGAGAAAGATATAATCACAGCTTCTTTATGTACTCACATTTTTACCACCATGAATGGACTTTTCTTTTCCTGAATTACAGGAGAAAGAAAATCAACAGGAAAATAAACTGCAGAAATAAGGGAGTATGAATAATTTTGTTCTATCAATCTGTGATATTATACCGTATGATGATTTTGTGAATGTGGAATAAAAAATGGGTAACTCAGGAGCTACCCTCTGTTTTAACCCTCTGTTTTATTGCTTTATGACAGTCAAGTTCAATCTTTTGTGCTTCATATTCATGTCAGACATTTTTAATCTTAGCTCTTCACATACAGACTGTTTAACCGATGAATGTTTCAGGGCTCTATTTACTGATGGTTTTATGGTCTGTCTCCTCTAGCCTGGCCGGGCCATCCTGTTGTGTGAATCACTTGCCGTTCCTTCACACAACAGTCTGGACTTCGGCCAATTGGGAGTGTGTATTAGCGATCAGAAAATAACCGGGCCAATCAGTGACTGTGTTTCCACTGTTCCCCGGACAACAGGGAAAGGCAGCCCCTGATTGGTCCATGTGTAGATGGTGATGTCTAACACATGCTGCGGGACTTTTCAAAGCGCCGTTCATTCAGAACGCTGTTAATTCTGCAGTTGACTTTGCAAAGTCGGCAGAAATCATTTAGATCCGCAGAAGACGACAGATATAAACGATTTCTGCTGTTGGAGAGCGAGTAGTTTCCCTTTGGAGGTTGGTTGCAGAGGATTTGCAGCCCATTCCTTGTTTAGAGCCTCTAGTCATTTAGGAATCAATGGAGAAAGCAGGAGAGCCATCCACAGCACCACCAATGCAGCAGAACTGGCCTCAAGGTGGCAGTGGCTCAAGAGAGGAGATCCATGGAGTTATGGTAGCTAGCTAGCCATCTGGATACAAACTGGGGGATTGATCACGCCCCACCTGTGTCACCTGAAAGAGGACGTATGATGTTGAAAGACCTGAAATGCCCAATGATTCCAGGAACATCACTGATGATGTGTCCAGACTAGGCATCAGTAGATGTACAGTATGTACACAGCAAAAGGGCTCTCATTGGCTCTCCCTTCAAGTGTCCTGATATCTAAATGCTGAGAATTTGAGAATGGGCAGAGTAGACTTAATAGGGTCAGTTTTGTACAATCTGTTACACAAAGGAGCTGGGCCTTAAGGAGGTTAGTGAAGCAGCCACTGTGTGCAGTTATGGCAGTTGAACAGCTAATACAAGAGGGGGCAATGTGGTAGAAGGGGTAGGGAGACACCTTGAGAGTAGGTGGGGGAGTGTATAAAGATTTACACAGGTGAGTCAAGAGACCCAGAGAGTGGGAAAGCAGGAATTGGAAAATATATATTCCACGTGTCCACATCTGCCAAAGCCAGAGACTGTCTGATGGAGTCTCTATTTTACAGCAGGGTTGATAGTGCTTCTGTGGGCCCTGTGGTGGGTTGAAGTTGGGGGCTTGGGACAGGTGATGTTATGTACAGACTCTCTCTCAGCTCTAATGGCATTGAGGGGAGCCGAGAGAGGCAATGCTAGAGTGGAAATTAAATTATATAACAGTAGAGATGTTGAAAGTGTTTAAATTTGGGGGGATTTGGTTTGATGAAAAGCTTATTTGGAATGTGCACATTCCAAAAATAATGGACAAATGTAAAAAAAGTGTTGAATATAATAAGATTTCTGGTAGGAAGTGACTGGGGGCAGAGAGAAATGCAATTAATTCTATTTAGATTGTTAAGGTCAGTATTGTATTACGGATGTGTGGTGTATGGGTTTGCAGCAAAGTCATCCCATAAGAAATTGGATGGTATTCAATATCAAATTTTAAGACTGTGTTCAGGTGCACTGAGGACAACTCCCACACCAGCTCTATAGGTGGAATTGAGAGATATGCCTTTGGAATTAAGAAGAGAACAGCTGTCATTAAATTATTGGATTAACTTAAAAGGACATGATGCAAATCATCTAACACAAAGTACAATGAAGCCAAGTTAGGAAAAGGAGAAGAACGAAATGAAAAGTTTTGGTTGGATTGTTGACAAAAAAGCACAAGAAATAAAAATAATTGAAATATGCATCAGTCCAACAGTACCTCTTCCAGTGTTTCAGCCATGGATAATGCATGCCCTCATTAATTTAGAATTACTTGAAAAGAAAGTTAATCATGGGCACAATTTAAATCAAGAGACAGTAAAGAGACATATAGAAAAAAATATTATGGGTATATGCAGGTTTATACTGACGCATCAAAGAATGTGAGAGGAAAAATAGGAGTAGCAATTAAGATTCCAGAGTTCAACATTAAGAGCAATAAATGAATAAGTGACGGAGTATCAGTATACATGGAGGAGATGGTAGCAGTTCTATTAGCAGTACAGTGGGTAGAAGAAGTAACATCATTTAAAACAATAATATGTTCAGACTCAAGTTCATCTTTATTGCGCATAAAATATAAAATATCAGAAAGCAGAGCTGATATTTTATTAAAAATCCAGCAAACAGTGTACAGAATTCAAAGGATGGGACTTATTGTGGAGTTTTTGTGGGTTACTGCTCACATTGGGGTAAAGAGAGCAGAGCAGCAGATAAATTTGCAAGGAGGGCTGCAAATAGAAAAAAAGTAGAACTAACAGTAAAAATGAAATTAAGCCAGTATTTAAAGGTAAGATAAGACAAAAATGGCAAAAGTGGTGGGAAGAGGAGAGAACTTGAAGGTGGTATTACGAAATTCAAAGAAAAAATGGTAAAATGAGAAGCACCATGAAAGCTAGAAGAGAGGAAATAATTATATCAAGATCAGGATTTGGACATACATGACTTAACTGTGCAGCATATAGAATTTGAAAAGTAAATTGTTAAATTTGAAGGTAAATCTGTGCATTGTGATGCAGAAGAGACCGTGGAATATGAGATTTTATATTTTCAAAAATATGGGTGGGAAAGAAGAATTTTGGTGGGAAAGCTAAGAAAGATTTGGGCAAATGTGGATATACAAGATATTTTGAGAAGGAACTCAGTAGATTTATGTTATAGTTTTTTTCAATATCTAAGAATTACCAAGTTGATTAAAAGAATCTGAAGCGGTTGTGAATTTATATTTATCTATTTATTTATTAGTACAGAGTAGATAGCGATATCCTGATTCACACTCCATACCGGTAGGTGGTGGTAATGCACCTAATCGTTGTTTGCCAATCGTCAAAAACCACTAAAGAAGAAGAAGAAGGAACTGTTGTTCCTGCCTTTGTCCTGTCCGGACTGCTTTTAGTGTGAGTCCATGATGGCAGCTGTGATGGAGGCACACGTGCAGATAACTGGTGAGTTATAATGACAGAGTTACTGAGTATACATCTGATTACTGAGCTCAGTTGCTGGTTAACAGACCTGGTAGATAAACGCTGTTTGTAAAGCAAGCTTAATGCTGGTAGCTGCTGCTGCTGCATGCTAACTCTGTACGAGAACACGCTAGGTGGCTAATGTTGTCTTAGCACGCTGTCTGTGGTCCTGTGAGAAGCTGTTTGATTAAAGCACGGCGTCGCTGATGCGGGTTTAAGGTTTGAAATGAAGACAGAGCTGAAGTCAGAGTCTTATTCCCAGACTGCTTTGACGCTCAGATGATAACCTGATGACCCCTGCAGCCCCAGAAACTGTAAATCCCTAATGCTGACATGATTCAGGTGTATCCATGCAACAGAAAGTGGACTGTTTAATGACAAGTCAATCTAATTATTCTTTATTTATACAGCGGCGCCAAATCACAACAATCGTTATCCCAAGACGCTTTCAAAAAGACCAGATCGAGATCTAACTCAAGTATTCGTTAAGTTCAGTGAATCTGGCTCCAGAGCAGCTGCTCGTTTGTTGGGTTATTTCCTTATCTCCTTTTCTAAAGGATGGTCAAGGGTTTTCCTGTATGCATACAGCTCCTATAATAGCCAGAGCTCAATACTGAATGGATGATTACAACAAACCCTTAGTCTTGTGGTTTAATATCAAGACTCTTCATCATCTAACCGTCCTGACTCAGCTGGACCCAAGGCTATGAGAGAGATACTAACTTTATGTGTTGGAGTAAAGTCAGGGGTGAACGGTTGATGGTTGATAATAAAATTGTAATACGTTTCACTTTAGCTCACACATTTACGGACCACTAACACAGTTTACTTTGAGTTTCTGCTCCTGCAGCTCAGGTACAGTATAAGCTCATGAAGTCAGTGAGTCTTTTAGTAATAAGACACTGTCATAGAGCCTCTGATGCAGACGAATTTCCAACACTGTCAGAAACGGATGAACTGTTGATGTGTTACTCACATAGACTGTATATACTATGGACAACTTGGTTCTGCCTACCGCCTGTATACGGATTTGAAGCCAAAAAGCTCTCGGTATTTCCAGGATTTTTCTTCATTTCCTGAAACCAGCATTGCGCAGTCGCGTTGTGCGCATTCGATGGGAGAGTTGCTGAGAGTCACCGTGATGACGCTCGGCTCAAATAGCGTCTCCCCCAGGTGAGCTACGCAATCCCTGAACGCCAATAGGCTGTATCAAGTGTCAATCAAAGAAAACATGAACCCCCTAATAACTTTTAAAAACGGAGCTTCACAGAAAAAAGAGGACTTGAGCACAAACCAGTCTTACTGTAACTACATGTCAACATCACAAGCAGGGGGTAGAAAAAATTATGTTGTGTAAAAATTTCTAAAGTTTGTCCACAGTCCCATAAGCTTTGCTGGCGGAGGCGGGATTTATAACCTATACTGCAGCCCATCAACAGAGGGTGCTGTTCTCGAAGTGGCTTCACCCAGCAAGGAGGCAGACTCTGTCCATTCCATATACAGTCTATGGTTACTCAGCTGTTTGTAATTTAAGTTTATGAAGAATCCTGCTGCTTTTTCTGTCACTCCTAACAGCCTCTCTGTGGGATTAAAGTTGGAGGGCTTTGATTTGAAAGAGGAAAAAAACACTAAGATCTAAATAATGATAACACTAATGGAGTTATTTACATTTTTAATTGTTAACAACGAAAATAAAAAATACACTGCATTCTGAATTGAGCTTCAATTTATTTTATATTGTGATATAAATGACAGAAAGAGTGAAAAAAATCTGTTTTTGCACAGATTTGTGTAGCCTTGATTTTGATAGATGATTTTCTCTACCTGAAAGAAAATGTAGATTAAAAGAAAAAAATTAACAATCAGTGACTTGATACTAATAATCAGATGAAATGTTTGTTTTCTGTGATTCAGCAGATGACTCAGAGCCTCGGATCCATGACCACAGTGAGAGTGATGAAGGAGAGGAGGGGGAGGAAGAAGAAGTGGAGGAAGAAGGGAGTGATGGAGAGAGGGCAGAGGATGGATTTACAGAGGACGAGGATGATGATGATGATGAAGCAGAGGATGAGGATGGAGGTGATGAGGCAGACAGTGAGGATGTAGAAGGCAATGCTGATGGTGATGAAGGTGATGAAAACCCTAACTCCGGCTGGGCTGAGGCGATGGCAAAGATCCTGGGGAAGAAGACCCCAGAGAGTCAGACCAGCATCCTGATGAAGAACAAAGAGCTGGAGAAGATAAAGCAGAGAGAAAGAGAGGAGCAGCTGCAGAAGAAGACACAGGTCAGCTTATCATATCAAGGGATAAATGATCATAATCACTCTAACATGTTATAGAACATAGGTTCAGAGGAAGTTCAACAGATGATTTGCTGATACCTTTTTTTCTGTGTGTCTGTTTGTGTCTGTCTGTGGTATCCTTGTGTGTGCGTGTTGTCTTCAGGTTGACAAGAAAAGAGCATGGGAGATGATGTGCAGAGTGAAGCCTGATGTGGTGAAGGACAGAGAGACTGAGAGAGCTCTGCAGAGAGTGGCCACCAGGTGAGTTATCTGTCTGTGTTACAGAGGTAGCATCACTTAAAGAGATATTCCGGCGTAAAATTAAGTTAGGGTCAAACACACCGTAACACTGAGTTAGACACCCCCTCGAAAGATGAATGTTGCCAACCGCTTGCTTCTCTAGTTATACCAACTTTAGTAACGACCGCATGATAGCAATACACAGCAGTCTGAGGAGCCATAAACAAACCTCAACCAAAACGCCACTCTATACAGTGTTTCCCCAAGGACTGGGGAATCCTAATACTAGGTGCGTGCACATATGAGTCCAAGATAGAGCTATGTAAGAAACACCTCATTTTAGAGGTGTGGCAGCTTTTATTTAGCCATGGTGGTGCGCCATATTTAATTGCATGTAGGGGAAACCCTGCTATAGCCACAAATAATTCTCAGAACAGCATCTAGCTTTATCAACAGTACATATAGCGTCCCAGCCATAGTACCAGCCACCAAACATCTTTTTTAGTTTTGTCTGATTTCTTTAGCAAAGAGACCAAACACAACTCATCTACTCTCCTCCAGCAGCCACTTGTTTGTAGGGAGACCTCGGACGAGTCGATCACCGACTGCAGTGGGGCGACGCAGCTGGGGAGAATGTTTATGACCGTTACTTCATCATTTCCTTGAAGTAATAATCATCATATTAATCATTTTGCACTGTAGACGCGGCGATTCTTCTGCCTTAGTGTCTTGGTCTGATTGCATTAACATGAAGTAATAATCATAAGCTGCTGCTTGAGGAGAGTGGGTGAGTTCTGTTTAATCACTTTGCCGAAGAAATCAAGCAAAGCTAAAAAGATGTCTGGTGGCTGGGACCCTATATGTACTGTTGATGAAGTTAGGTGCTGTTCTGAGCATTATCTGTGGTTATAGAGTGGCTTTTTGGTTGAGGTTTGTTCATGGCTCCTCAGACCGCTGTGTATTGCTATCGCGTGGTCATTACCAAAGTTGGTATAACTAGAGAAGCAAGTGGTTGGCAACATTGATCTCTGGAGGGGGTGTCTAACTCAGTGTTACAGTGTGTTTGACCCTAACTTAATTTTACACCTAAATATCCCTTTAAGGACAGGTGGTTGACCTGTGACCTTTGACCTGTGTGCAGGGGAGTGGTGCAGCTGTTTAATGCAGTGAGAAAACACCAGAAGACAGTGGAGGAGAAGGTGAAGGAGGTGGGAGGCTCAGAGAGGAAGAAAGCCAAGCTGCTGTCGTCTGTCTCCAAGAAAGACTTCATCGATGTGCTGAGGGGGAGTGAGGGAGGAGGGGGAGGGCAACAACCGACTGACAAGGTGAGTTTAGACACATATTACAGGTTGTATTACAGTGTATGTTCCTGATTTCTGTTTTATAGACCTCAGCTCTGAGTATAGAGCATGTGAAAACACAGTTGAAACACATTAGGACCACAATGATACATATATATGTATATATATATATATATATATATATATATATATATATATGTGTGTGTATGTATGTATGTATATATATAATAAATCAGAGCTATAATCTTGGTCTGTGTGTTTAGGCTCCTCCCCCCACAGAGGACCAGAAGCCGTCGTGGAGCGTGCTCAGGGACGACTTCATGATGGGAGCATCCATGAAGGACTGGGACAAACAGAGCGAGGAAGAGGAGGGGGGTGGGGGTGGAAGTGACACAGACTGACACACACCGTCAGTGAAGGGGCCGTGGTGCCTTCAGGGAACGTGGAGAAGATGGACTGTGCGGACCCGCCTGCTCAGGTGGGATTGAGGTGATGAAGATGAGCAGGAGGAGAAGGAGGGTTTCTGATTATGAAATATCTGATTCTGAATATGAACAGAATTTTAAAGATTATATTTTTAAAATATAAACGTGATGAGCAGAGAGAACAGACCTCTGTCTGTTATTATCCACAGGGGGCACTCTTACAACTACGGAGGCACAATAACAACAGGACCAGCTGTTTTGTGCTGGTCCATGATTCTAACCCTCCTCCCCCATGCCTCCCCCAAAAGAGAAGGACATTTCACCATCTCTCAGTGTTGATGGTGATGCAGGGTTAGGGAGAGTAATCTATATTTTGCTTTTTTCAGTGCAGATGTCACACTGCAAACTGTCCTGTTAATGAGAGAGGAAAAGCGTTCATTTTCACGTGTGTGTGTCAGTGTTTATTTCCCTCTCTAAAGCAGACAGTTCCCCTCTCCCTCACAGTGAACTTCTTCCTGATCGGCTTGTGGTAAACACGCTGATTAATGCTTCATTCACACTGTGGATTCACCCACTCTTATCTCTCTCCAGCTGATGCTGAACCCTCCACTCTGAACTAAGCCACCTTTTTACTTTCTTTTTGAACACAACTCAAAGATCAGTTGTGTTTATCCTCATTTTTTTTAGAGTTCATCTCTTCATCCTGTGCTGCGGCAGAGGAAGTGCACTGTGCCTAAGCATGATGCAGAGCACTCGCATTGGATAAACTGGACTGCAGGACTAAAACATGCTGGAAACACCACAGATTAACTTTAAGCCCGTGCACCTTCACAGACAGGGTCTGGTACTGGAAGACCTTCAGTGTAGCTTTCAGTTTGTTTGCTCTGAGCTGTGATGCAGTCTGTAAATATGAATGTTTGTAATAAACTGATTTATCACTCTGTCTTTGTGTAATGTTAATGGTATTTGTTGCAAACAGTAACATTTCACTGCCTGCCCCTTTTGTACCTCAGCAACATCAATGTAACTTAACATCAATCAATTTTTGATCACTCCCTTACCTCCAGCTGAACTTACTCACCAGTCAACAATTTCAGTCTTCAAAGGAAGAAAACTGGCATACGTCTGGCATTGCAAATGATCTTAAATGTGCGGAGAATGACATTAGCTCAATGATGCTCACTTGATGACCTAAAAATGTTTTGATTTTAAAAGGTTAACCTTTCAAGAGAGTACAATGAGGATAAACATTATACTATGTCATCCCTGTTACTCACATTTTAAATCCTGTTACTGTGGAAAGGTAACAGGGTTGACAGTAACAGAGTTGACCATTTTAAGCTAATCTGCCTGTGGCTAGCTTAAATAAGTGCTAGCTGAAGTGCAAGCTAGGTACTTTGAAAGGCAATTACTTGTAGATATTGATTACATTTTGAGAAATAGAGAATTGTTTAGGTTTATATGTTAAAAAGTGGTAAAAGGGATGACGTTGTATGCTTGTCCCCCCTAGTTAAACCTTGAAAAAAACATCCAAAATAGCACATCAGAGATGAGAGAAACTTAATTGTTACTGAGCTGTTAGCATCCTGGCTCAGAGACGATGCAACCTCCTGTCAATGTCAAATCTGTAATGAACCATTATTTTTTTGTTTTTTTTTAGTGAGGGTAACAGGATTGACATGAAAAAAGGGGACGCCGATAAATTGGTTAATATTTATAATGACTAATATATATTATAATCAAAAAAACTGTTTAACAATAAGATCATACTTAAACAATATGTAAATGTGAAAATTGTAACATTTTGCCAACATTTTACAAATTTAAAGTCCTGTATACGTACAGCAATAGTAGTGAGGGACAGGCCTAAAACCTCACCCTCATCATCATAAAAGTAATTTATATTATTTAAAATGATATTTAATTGACTTTAATTTGATGTTATATTAAGGAGAGAAGACATGGTAATGTTATATTTTTAAATTACATATTAATTTGTTGTTATCATTTTATGAATGATTACTTCTTGGGGACGCAAATGGCACCGATTTCATGGAATGACCCTCTTACAGATAAAAATCCTAGCAGTGATTCATGTGGACTTGTGTGAGGAGAGATTAAGGCATCCTGTCAGTCATTGTTCAGTTTTAACTTTTCCCCGCTAACTCTAAGATAGAGCTAGAATTAGCAAACATGGTAGTTTGGGGCAACATGTCTCAGCCATTTTGGGGTTAGTTATCACATGTTTAAAAGGGACTAAAAATTAACACAGAGAGTCTGCTTATCAGCAGTTGTCATAACGAAACTTTGACTTTATTTTTACAGAAAAAGGAGTGGTTTAAAGGAAAGGAGAAAGCGAGAAGACATGGTCAGGAATTTCAATAGAAAAACAGAACATGGCAGTGCAGTAACTGACGTGATCCTGAGGGCAGTCAGACAGGTGACCTTAGCTAATAAATCAATCTGGAGTACAATAAAGGACTTTAATGTCAACTACCATACCTTAGCTTGGTACTGCAAAACATTCACCCCAGCGGAAATGGCTATGTTCCTTAGTAACCTTGGATGTTTTTAAACTTTGTTCTTGACTACAAACAGATCCGAGATAAGAAAACTTTGGTGTCAGTGTCAGTGGGTTTAAAAATTTCCTCAGAAAGATTTGAGACCCCAGGCTCTATTTTCGTGCCCGCCAGCGGTGCGGCGGATGGTGGCGCATCCCGCGCAGCGGTATTTTCGTCTGGCAGAGCCTGGTGAACAGCCAGTTTGGTATTTTCATAGACTGAGGTTCTCAGAGGTCCGCCAAGCTGGGCGTGGTGGCACGGTTGGGGGAGGTGTCGACAATAAATAATAAAAAACAGCTAATATTCTTAGTCAGCAAATACATTTAGATCTATATCGGTATATTCTGATCTATGTCTGATCTGATGAGCGCATTCGGCACGCGTTTGGACACTCAACCTGACCAAATTAGCACAATTTAAACCGCATTAAATTAAATAGCCAGTGAATGGTCACACATGATTATATTTAATTCATCCCCCCCTTTTTTCTCACTTCTTCTTCCTCTTATTTCTCAAGCAGCTGGATCTGGACATGTCTTCGTGTCCTCTCCCTGTCCTGCTGCTGCTGCAGGCTGAACAGATGATTCATTATAGTGATCAGATGATCATTTTTACAAAGAAAATTTGAAAAAAAAATAAAACAAACTTTAATTCAAAATGACCTGCTTATCTGATGTTCTCATATCCTTAAAATTCTGTGAATATTCAATCCTGAGTTGTGCCCACATGAGAATATTATTCAGTTTTGTGGGCCAAATTTATTTTATATGCCAACATCTATGAAAGAAAGAGCCAGGCCACGGAGCGCGATGCATCATTTACGCACAGATGGTTCCGATTTTAATGCCATTATTGGAATTTATGTTGTGATCTGTGCGCACAACCCACCTTTGTCACGTGAGGTTTAAATATATGCAACTTGATGGGAGTGTCTTTATTTGTGGAAAAGGGTGTTTGTCTTACCAGTGGGTATAACCTTACACACACTAAATCCCTCTGTGCTTATTTGAGAGTGTGGAGGACGCCCAATGCAGCGCTTACAGTGACACCTGTGGAGGGGCTGTCTTCTGTTACCATCGAGTGGCATTGCTGTCTTCAGACATCTCTTGATCACTTCAACTACTTTACGAAAATTGTAATACGCCTCGCCGGTGGCGGATTTAAAGGTGAGGAGAGGAGCTGATGTGATTGGTAATGTGACTGCGCCACACCGCCGGCGAGGAACGAAAATAGAGCCCCCCGTGTCATCTTAAAAAATACATTTATGTATATATATATTTACTCTTAATAGACAAGATTCCTCTTCACAGCAACATCCCGCTATCATTCACAAAATCCCGGGGAGAGAGGGTCGACCGTCGCTGAGTCAGTCGACCTGACTGACTGCATCCTCACCTTCCCGCTGTCCAACTCCTCGGGGTTCTCAACACAGCGGTGCAGGGTGCTGTAGTACTGTTTTTTGGAGCTGAACTTGAACAGGGAGGAGATCCTCTCCCAGTCTTTGTTAGATGGGGTTTGGATGCCATCAGGTGATCTTATTGTAAAGAAGCTCTTCACGTTCCTCTCAGCAAGCTCTTTGGCATGTTTGGTGGTGTAAGAGTCGATCAGACAGCTTTCCTCCCGGGCGTAGACCCCCCAGAACTTGAGCTGCAGGTAGCTGATTGGAGAGGTGCAACGGCCCAGGCAGGTCAGCAGCAGGTTGAACAACATGATGGAGGCAATGAGGAGCCAACCCAGAATCTGTGGACACCAGAAAGACAGCAGAAAATTGAGATCCCTTAAGAAAGCTTATGCACCAAATGTTTTTCTCATTTATTAAATTCCTTTGAATCATGAAGGAAGATTTAGAGAGGTTTTACAATTATGAGCTTAAAGTAGAATTTGAAGTTTGACATCAGATTTCTGAGATTTAAATCGGGATTTTTAGAGTAAAGTCAGTGTTTTGAGATTAGGGTCTGAATTCTGAAATTAAAATTAGAATTCTGTTTCCTGCTCTCTTCATTTTTACCTCACACCGGAACCCACATTCTTCTCTGTCATTTTTACTCTTCATCATCATTTTTGTTATTTCCTGCTGCCCATCAGCATTCTGTCCTCCACTCCCGATCCCTTTTCCCATGACCCTCCTTCACATTTGAGTGCAGAAGCAACAGGGAAGTTTCAGAGAACCTCTGATCATGGCAGCGTTAACTACAGTTAAGGATGATGGGTGGCAGGATGACACTTGTTTAGCTTTGTGTATGTCTGCCTGCATGTGTAAGTGTGAGTGGGGTGAGTGTGTGTGTAGCCAGCCAATGCAAAGAGAAGGAAATGTTATCAGCCCTGGGCTGTGAGAGGCTGAACTCACCTTGATCGCTGACAGTAGAAGGGGAAGACTGAAGGAGATACACAGGCAGACAAAAGACTAATGAGGAGCATAAACACATGTTTGAAGTACATATAATCTTCATGTGATAGTCAGGAGAAGCTTTCTGATATTTTGGATTAATATTATTAATAATAATTCATGTATTGTATTCAGACTTGACCCTCATTCAGGAACTTTAAACCTGTCTTGACCTTTCAAAAAGTGACTTGTTTCCATGTTTTCACGTCCGTTTTAAAGCAATGACAGATTTTACAGAGACCACCTTCAAGAGTAAATCAGATTTCAGTCACCTGATGTGAAAGTCTCTGACAACAGGAAGTGGTTTTCCTTTGAGCCTGACAACAGACTATTAACCCTCCAAACACTGGATTTGTGGACTTGAGTTCCTAAAAACCACAGGCGTAAATATTGGTGGTGCAACCGGTGCAGCTGCACCGGGGCCCAGACGCCGCCAGGGGCCCATGATGAGGGAGAAAAAGAAAGAAGTAAAATCGCCCTCGGTGGATGCATTTCCTCCACAATGTTGTGGCGCAACCGGCTCTGCCGCTTTTTCTTTTTGCCACCGGCTTTTCTGTTTGTGTATATTTTTTTCCTCCAGTTTATGACAGCTGAGTTGAGAACTTAATGCATGTGGTTTACTATTGCGCATGTCTTTTTGCTGCTCTAATAAACATTTGCTTCTTGGTTGTGATACAAATAAGATGGAAACTGGTGAAAAAAAATGTGCATCAAAATTGCAGAAAGAAGTGGCAGGCAGGGAAGTGGAGTTTTTCTTTGTGGCACAGGAAAAGGGAGCATGAGAGCAGTATGAGCAGAGTAAAGCAGCAGACATATTTAGCCTTACTGCTCCACAAAATGACACAAACTGGGGCACCGGTGGCAAAAAAAAAACAAAAACAAAGAAAGAAAGGTCCAGTCCAAAATCGGAATTATCACATATGGCCCAGGTCAGAATATAGGAATTATTGCAATGGGCAGTCGGGCCAGTGGGTCTAGAAAAGTTGGATTAATGGGTAGTCATAGAGATGGGCAGTCGGACTGACGTATGCTCCCGGTCAAAAGGGCAGGCTGGTAGGTAAAGTGTCGATATGTATCTCTGGTCACTGTCTGTGGTGCTTAAAGGCTGCTTTGCAGGGTGTGGAAGTGGAGCGGGAGTGGCAGCGCAGTGCACGACCAGGTCCTTGGCTGGTCGTAAAGGGAGCATGTTTCTCCTGTGTGTCGTGTGCAGATGCAGCTGACAAATATTACCAGTATAGACTAATGAGCAACAACTTAATTAATCACCATTTAATTATTCTATTTTGAAAATTAAACGGATTCTCTCGCCTTTTTGCTGTGCCTGACTTCCTGTCTGGTATGAACTGGTCTATCCAGCTTGACAACAGCACACGGCTCGCATTAAAAATAGAACAGATACCGAACTGAAGCGCTGCAACGTGCGCCTCCACTCCAGGGCGCCCCAGGGTGCTGTGCTTTGGTTCTGCGGGCAGTGTTCAGGGTGTCAGCCTACATGGCAACAATAGCTGTTCTCTATGGTGGCTGCGCATGCGTGTGCGCTTTTGTTAAGGGCAGGGGTAGGGGCACAGAAAAATTTTTGCACTGGGGCCTATCACCATAATGTTACACCACTGCTAAAACCAAAAGTGAATGTGAAAGATCAGCATTACTGTGCTGTTCACAGAATTTGCTTCTTAAATTTCATTTTTGTGCATGTTGTGCAAATTAGGAACGTTTTAATGACTCAAACTCAAATTTCCATGTTAACAGGCCTCATATTTCTTAAAAAAGCCCTCTGTGTGTAGCACCCTTCACTCACAGATTACACAGATCAAAGAGTTGTCTCAAGGCATTGCTCATCATATTTTTTAAGGAATCACTCTGCACGGCAGGAACGATCAGAGACTTCATTTCTGGATTAAGGGGGACACTGAAGACTTTTACGTACGTGCCACATTTGCATAACATAAACAATTAGTGAAACTGTGAGACATGCTAACTTTCCACCAGGTTTGAGATCGATCAGTGTTGCAGTCCTGCAGATATTAACACTTGAGCGCCCCTTGACCGCACATCGTCACTTTGAGTTCTCCTTTTACCACTGCTATGCAGCTGAAGTGAAAAATATGTCTTCACTGTGATATTGCAAGGGTTATCATACAATTTGACTCCACTGTTTTATAGTTACGTGCTATAATCTTTTCTTTCACGCTCATTTTTGCAGTCGCTAATGATCAAGTTTCCTCGTTGTCAGTGGTGTGTTAACGTGCACTCAGAAGTGCATTTACTGACCTGAGAGTGAGCCTTGAGAGTGAGCAACACTTTATCCCGGTCAGCCTCCTCCTCCGGAACCTCCTTCTCCTGTCTACAGGGGAACCTGAACAGCTCCTTCTGACATTTCTCCACATCAGACGTGCCTTCACACAGGTGGCTATAGTAGCTGTTTACGTTGGTCCCGGTCATTGCGCACTCAAAGTACTTCCCGCTGAGCAGAGCCACAGCGATCCAGGAGGCTGGGGCCACCAGTGCAGAGGCGGTGATCTGGAAAAGGACGTACACTGTTGTAAACATTTTCTTGCATCCGCACGATCGCTCTCCTGACCTGCACAGACCTGTGATCAGCTTCCAGGTCTTCTTATTGAGGATGTACCCAAGCAGCAGCAGGGCCAAAGCGGGCACCAGCAAGAACACCATTCCGTAAACAAAGTTGAAGTATGAGTTGCAGGGACACTTGAAGGCCACCGTGGAGAAGATATGCTCCCCTCCAGCTGTTAGCAGGGCCACAACCCCAAACCCGAGGGTGGACTGTTGGTTGGCGATGTTCAAGATTGTCATAAACGTGTCCATCATTGCCCGCAGTGAGACTGAGAGGCTGATTTACTGGATCTCACTTTTAGTTTCACTGTACACACCTTGTGTTTCATAATCAGTGTTGTGATCTGTGTCCGCCCCACTTAAAAATGTGTAGAGATACATAACCAGGGTTTGGACCGAAACCTCACAGCTACTGTATTTACGGTAATTTATTTCTTTTTAATTTCTTAAATATCTTTGTGAGTGAGGGGATTTTAAAAGACCTGTCATCACCCACACACGCACGTTCACAGCCAAACCCACAAGCATGGGCATGCATGCACGCTGGTACGCACACACACACACACCCACACACACTAGTATGTTTTTGGCTTATCCAAAACAAATATGCACTCTATTACAGGCATAATAATCACTACAACACTCACTCTAATGTCACAAGGACATTTTCAGGTCATGACCTAATTGTGGAGGTATTGACCTACTTAATCTGCCCTTGTACTCATAAACAAAATAATGGAATGATTATTACAGAAGCGTAGAGCTGCCACACCATGAAAAAAAGGGCTCAGTATCAGGTAATTAGGCAACGTGAAAGGTTTATTGTTATAACAATACCTTTTCACATTTTAACAATATCTTTTTCACATTATAACGTCAAAGTATCACGTTATTTCAAGATATATATTTTCACATTACAACATGAAATCATCACATTATTTCGACAACATATCTTCATGAAATAACTTAAAAGTGTGGTTTTACGTTGCTGGTGTTACAGCGTGCTGCAAGGGGAGAAATAAAAAGAAAGACAGACACGCTGTTGCCAGCTTTCATTCTACAATGAAATAAAGAGCCACAAGCAAAATGCTTCCTTGTAATATGTGTTTAATAGTCTTATGAAGTGTCCCTGAGTCAGTACCCAGGTACAAAAGCTGTGTGATAGCTGAAGGGTTAAACAGGCACTTTCCATGGTCCTGCTGGCTGTGCTGGTCCATAGGGCAGTGGTGGGTACCAGAACATAGCATCATTTGGGAGTCCAGTCTTGTAACACACCGGATGACCCAGCTGGTCATAAGTGAAGACCTTTGGAGTTTTCCATCTTTGACGGGCTGCTGGTGTACCTGTTCTGCTCATAGACTGTATATACTATGGGTAACTTGGTTCCGCCTTCCACCAGCATACACATTTGAAGCTGAAAAACTCTCAGTATTTCTGTGATTTTTCTCCATTTCCTGAAACCAACATTGTGCAGTAGCATTGTACGAATTCGGCAGGAGAGTCACCGAGAGTTGCTGTGATGACACTCGGCTCAAACAGCATATCCCCAGGTGAGCTACGCAACCTTCGTAGGCCCATAGGCTGTATCAAGTGTCAATCATAGAAAACATGAACCCCCTAATAACTTTTAGAAATGGAGCTGTACAGAAAAAAGAGGACTTGAGCACAAACAAGTCTTACAGTGAGTACATGTCAACATCACAAGCAGGGAAGAGAAAAATCAGAGACCACTCTGCTGAAGGTGACAAATGACCTACTCATGGCTTCGGATAGTGGTTTTCTCTCTGTTCTTGTCCTGTTGGATCTTCTTAGTGCTGCGTTTGGCACAAGCGACCACCGCATCCTGCTTCAGAGACTGGAACAATCTATTGGCATAGGAAGAACCACCCTATCCTGGTTTAAATCTTATCTAACAGATCGATCTCACTTTGTCCATATTAATAATAAATCCTCTAAGCACACCAAAGTCTGCTACGGGGTCCCACAAGGGTCAGTGCTTGGACTGATTCTTTTAACCTTGTACATGCTTCCTCTGGGTAAAATTATAAGGAAGTACTTGATTAATTTCCACTGTTATTTAGATGACACCCAGTTATACTAATCTATGAGGCCAGAAGAAACAAATCAGGTAACCAAATTAGAAGCTTGTCTCAAAAGATATAAAATTCTGGATAACCAATAACTTTCTGATGCTCAACTGAGACAAAATTGAAGTTCTTGTCCTCGGTCCTAAACACCTTAGAGAGGCATTCTCTAAAAACGTAACATAAACAAAAATTAGACCCATCCTGTCTCAGAGTGATGCAGAAAAACTAGTCCATGCTTTTGTTACCTCTAGGCTGGATTACTGTAATTCTCTCTTATCAGGCTGCTCTAATAAGTCTTTAAGGACTCTACAGCTGGTTCAAAACACAGCAGCTCGGGTATTGATTCGAACCAGAAGAAGGGAGCACATCTGGCTCCCTATTAAATCTAGAATTGAGTTTAAAATCCTTCTTATGACATATAAAGTGCTTAATGGCCAGTCGCCATCATATCTCGAAGACATATCGCCCAAAGTTAGAAAAGGCTATCAATTTCCTATTTGTTAAGATTCTATATATGATTGTTTGGTATCATTGTAAAGGGGACCCTCTAGCCTTTCACATAAGCCCATGGTTGTATCTTTCTGAAAAACACAGGTCACACGACCCCTTCAAACCATAAATTACACACATTCCCCCATATTTTTTGCCTAAATATATAGTTTCTTTTATCCCTGTGGGATCAAGGGGTATCAAAGACCTAAAAGCCAACAATCTTAATCCTAAATAAACTTAGAGGCTTTAGGAAATGTATGATATACCAATACCAATAATAGATGTAATGATGTTATTACTAATACTAATGCAATAATAATATCAAATGCCAGGTAGACATTTTTCAACCTTTCCATTAATCAGTAAAATTCATTGAACATGGGAACTAATTACAAATATGAATAGTTATGAATGAATCAAAATAGCATTACAATTTCTTTGTCACATTTTTTCCCTTTTTTTTAATGCATTACGGATTCATACAAGGATCATTTGACTTTCGGCACTGTCAAGATGCAGTGCATGGCTTTGGCTTACAGCCACATTGGGCTGTCCTGCATCCAGTTGTACAGCCAAAGGCCACTAGCTCCTCACAGGCATCTGGAACTGCAGGCAACGACATAAGTTCAGGAACAAGCATGTCGTTCTCCATCTTCCATCTTATATTTTAGGAGGTGGCAGCACCAGGTATTGCAAGTGGGCATGCCGCCAGACCAAAGTCTGAAAGTGAACACGCTGGATGTGAAATTTCAGAGCATCTCTGGTGGGTGGTAGTCTCTCTATGGTCATACCCTTGACAAACATGCCCAAACGGACTTCATTGATGTTGTTTGTGTTGTTTGCACCATGTAAGTGTCATAAAAAACACTTCTGCATCCATAATGGTTAAGTCACTAAGCTCAGAACCTTCACCAAGCCCCTTGAGTAGATGGCTGTGCTGTCTAAACACATTCCAGCAGGTCTTCTTCGTGTGTCCTGAAATATATGATGTTGAGTCACTCCCAGTCAGTGCATGTAAACCTGGAAGCAGCTTAAGGACCTCTTCTTTCATCTGGAGTCTGTGCATCATTATATTGTCCAGGTTGACTGTAAGTCCTGCTTCATAGGCTGTAATAAGACACTATAGGATGTTCCTGTCTGCCTTGACAGTTTTTGCCTTTCCAGTTTTGGTATCTGACTGTTTCACTTCAAACAGTGAGGAAAAAGTAAAATACTTGTTCTGTGTCAGTTTGTCCCTGAAGCTAACACTTCTCTCTTTAGATGGCATCAGCCTCTCCCTGACAAAAGCACCCAACTGACCTTGCCCTTTCTGTGGAACATTCAACAGGTCATCTTCAATATTCTGTGTAGCCAAATCATGGTTTGCAATGTTTTGCAGTGTCTGGGGCAGGTTAGTGGAAAAGAGACCAAATCTCTGCAAGACAGTGAGGAAAGAATCTTCATCTTTTGAGTCCCATTTCATTCTACCTTTTGTGGTTTCATTGTGGATGCAGTTGTCACCAGTTCCCAGAACCAAGGCCACCTTGGTGTCATGGACACGATCACTTTGGAGGTTAAAAGACAGAGCCCACTGATTGAGAGCTGAAGACCACAGCGACCCCTACAAGATTTGACCCTTGCTTCTGTATGTAACCCAAACCTATGGAATCAATGCTGCAAGTCGAACAAGAAGGGGAGGCAGTCCACAGAGGTGGCGGCGCGACACAGCTAGGGACCGCTGGTGCCCCATTGAGATGTTTCTCCTTCAGATTATTCATCAGGTCCATCCAGAACTGAAATTAGAGCTGATGTTCATTTTAGGTTTACATTTACATTTAATGTGAAAATTTGCATGGCAAACATCATCAAATAACTGTAAACCTGCAGTACCACACTGAGTATTTCCTCACTTGGAACAATTCAGTGGATGTGAATATAATATATATATATATTACAAAAAATATATGTTTTCCTACACTGTACATATATGAAGTGTTTGGGGTAACATCACAGTAACTTCTTTGAAGACGCGCTGCATTTCCATGCGAGTCCGCCTCTCACCCGAAATACGCAGCTGTGCAGCGGCACGCAAAGAATTCTGGGATAGCAAGGCCACGAAAGCTTGCATAAATGCACGCTCGAAAAAGGGGCGGGGCTAGTGTGGTTTTGAGACTGAATTTGAAACGCGCTCAGCATTCCGAGCCAAATGGGACACCGTTTGTGCCGCGTGATGACATCACGCACACTTTGAATGCACCGTTAGGCGGTGCGGTCTCTGAAATCAGACACAGCCTGTGACACAAAGTCTGGGTCATAGCTGACCAATCAGCCACTGACCTACTTTCTGTCCTCCTGAAACTTTGTGCTTTTATTAGAAAGAGACAAAACTTGAATCATTTAGAAAAAAAAAACGTTCCTTTTCTTAAATATTTCAACATTGACTTGTTGTAAAGCTGATTTGACTTTTTCTCACGGAGAGTTAAAAAAATACTGTTAAAGACAAAGATCATATATTCTTACATCACACCAAGCTAAGGATTGTGGGAATCAGTTTACCATCCAGTGGTGTACAGATATGATTTTACATAAGTGTCCTCAAGAGACCCTCCTTGTTGAAAAAAAAACAAAAAAACATGTACAGTTGTATGCAAAAGCGGGACCTGGCTAAGATAGCAGCCATACAAAGTACATACAAATACAATCGGTGTGTGATACGTAAATGAACAATACAACAAGGAACAGCTGTTCAAAGAGAGTGGCCCCTAATGAAAAACAGTGACATTCCCCCGTCACTGCATTCTTTATGATACACTTAAAATCATTAAAGGATTGTTTTTTTTTTTGTTTGTTTTTTTTATCTCAGAGGTTTTTTTAAGGATTTTCATTTTAAAAGTCTGGCATTTTTTGAAGACAATATTATCAGGAAACATTTATGCATTGCTATGTTTTATTTAATAAACTGAACAAAAATACAAATATAAAAAAAACATCATTTTGGCATTATCAAAAGTTTGTGCACCATACACAGTCAGACTTTTACCACCATCAGACGACATTCGATAGATTGGTCAGGAGTAAATATGACTTGACCCCAAAAAAATTCTAACAAAAGGTTGCTCAGCTGTTTTTTTTATAGTTTTAGGTGTCCTTAATAACATACTAAAAGTTTAGCAAAGTTTGACCACTAGAAAGGTGTCATTTTCAAGATAACATCCATGAAAGGTAGGAAGCCCGGGGAGACACCCCAGGTGAATGGGGTAAAATTTTTAACTAACATATATCACCATGAAACTTCCCAAGTTTATAACTTACAAACATTTTTTGAATTACAAGTTTTGTCAAATGTAATGTTTAAATATGTAAATGAGGCAATCTTTAATCAAATATGCACTAATTTGCATACATTTCCAGAGCTGAAAACTGAACAATGGATGAAGCCCCTTTCAAAAATTATGTTTTATTTTGTTGACATACTTGAGTCAGAGGGGGATATCTCTTTTTATCACTCTGTAAATGAGAAAATACTCTAACCACCCCCCAAAAAGTGTTTTTTTCAAGTCCTTAAAATGACCATTTCTATTTTGTAGTCCTTCTAGACCAGGATTACGGGTGCCTGAAACATGTTTTGACAATGCAATATTCTGATTAGCATATTTTAATGATAGATAAGTGATAACAAGTACAATTATATATTAAAGGGTTATTCTGTGAAACTGAAAATGCGGTGGAGGGACAGATGTGTTGTCTTTGTGACATGCTAAAAGTGTGTGCACACGTTAAGGAGGTGGGAGGATCCAAGAAAACAGTTTTAAAAAGTGGGAAGGGCTTGTCTCACCCATGCCCCATGGCTCCTGACTCACTTTTTGGAGTTTAAAATTATGTCTATCTGTTCCTGGTGTCCACAGATTCTGGGTTGGCTCCTCATCGCCTCCATCATGTTGTTCAACCTGCTGCTAATCTGCCTGGGTCGTTGCACTTCTCCAATCAGCTACCTGCAGCTCAAGTTCAGGAGGACGTACTCTAAGGAGGAGAACAGCCTGCTCAATTCCCGCATTGTCGAACATGCCAGAAAGCTTGCTGGAAAAAACCTCAACAGCTTCTTTACCTTGCTGCTTGCTTGCAAAGATTTCTCTGATTTTCTGAATCTTTCAATGATTTTATGGACTGTAGATGATCAAATGTCTACATTCCTGCAGTTGTACGTTGAGAAATGTTCTTAAACTGTTGGACTCTTTGCTCACACGGTTGTTGACAAAGTGGTGACCTTGGCCCCGCCCTTCTTTTAAAGGACTGTTTCTAATGAACCTGTTCACCTGTGGAATGATCCTGCTGGAGATAACAAGGGCAACAGCTGTTCATCAAGCCACTGTAAACACAGAAGTTTAATTGTAGTACACTATAACAGTGACCTCTCTTTACTCTGGTCCTGAGAAAAGTACAGACACTCTATCCCTAATCTATCATCCCCAGGTCATATAAACACCTGCTATTATATAAGCAGCTGAGACAGTTGGCATGCTTACAATAAATGAGGTTATAAAAGAGAAGTTAGGATAAGATAAAATAACACCTCAACTAGGTGCAATTACATAACATGAAGCTGAGACAAAGGACAGCGTCATAATTTAACCGTTGGAGTGCGTGGGAGAATCAGTCTCTCAGTTTCAGCCAGGGATGGAGAGGTTGATGACGCTCTTCAGTTACGCCAGCCAGACCGACATCTGGGCCGCGGTTGTTGCCCTGCTGACAGCCGGGGCTGAGCATGTCTTCTCTTTGGTGGTCTTCAGGTGTCCCTGCAGCCCGGACCTGAACTTTGTTTATGGGTTGTCGTTCTTGCTGGTTCCTGCTTTGGCCCTCCTGCTGCTCGGGTACATCCTGAATAAGAAGACCTGGATCCTGCTGACGGGCACGTGCAGGATATGGTCGTGCGACTGGGTGACTGCAAACATGACCGCTCTGTTATACATCTCTAACTTTGCACTTGTGGCCCCGTCTTCCTGGATCGCTGTTGCTCTGCTCAGTGGGAACTACTTTGAGTGTGCAATGGCGGGGACCAACGTGAGCAGCAGCTACGGCAGTCACTTGTGTGAAGACACATCTGATGTGGAGCAGTGCCAGAGGGAGCTGTTTAGGTTTCCCTGTGGGAAGGGTAGTGGGGTCTCGGAGGCCGACAGGAATCAGGTGATGCTCATCCTCAAGGCTCACTCTCAGGTCAGTGATTATCAGTCGGTCATGCTCTGAAAGCACACACCTCTTCCAACGTGGTAACTTCATTATATACTTTCAAAAAGTGCATTGTTAAGGGGCGTTCAGACCAAACACGATGCGACCTGGTCGCGTCGCGTTGGTCGCGTCGCGTTGGTCGGTCACGTCGCGTCGCTTGGTGCTCTGGTGTGTTCACAACGGGTCCAAAGCTGTAGTCGCAGGTCGCGGCTGGTCGCCGGTGACATCATCCATGAGAACGTCACTAGCCCGGTTTTCAGTTCATCTGTGCTGCCGCATATCTGACGCGACTTGGCGACCAGGTCGCCAAGTCGCTTCAGGTCGCGTCGCAGGCAGCCGGCGGTCGCCAAGTCGCGTCAGGTCGCGGCTGTCCATAGACTTTGCATTGGGAGCCGTCGCCGACTTTGCCGAAGTCGCGTTTGGTCTGAACACCCCTTTATATTGACATGGAGCTTGAGTCCATACCCCCCTAAAGAAAAAAGGTAATTATCCTAAAAGTAAATGAAAGAAAACAAGGACATAAAACAGGTAGGCTTAAGAATAAAAAAGGGACAGGGCCTGAATGGGTCTCATTTTTAGCCACTTTTACAGTGGCCATGAGGTGCAAATTACAATGGCAAAAGAGAAAACACAGCAGCAAACCAGAAAACACAACGGCAAAAGAGAAAACACCACACTCACACTCACACACGAAACACAACACAAAAATGTGACAGGGCTGGTTTTTTGCTTGCATGTTGTGTAGTACGTTTTTAGAGTGGTGTTAAGGAATTTGCAACGGTCCCTGAAGTAGCGACAATCAACCGATACGAGGCCGGTGCGTGCAGCTCGCAACACACACCTGACCGTGTTTACAAGACAGCAGACACGGAATGAGATAGCAATAACCGCAGAAGTCGGAGAGAAACCACGCCAGGAGCAGCAGCAAGGAGCCATCCTGGAGTCTATGGCTAGAGTGTGCGACTGCCTGGTTCAGCGAGCCCGGATGGATAGCCGAGCAATGGCAGGGAAGCGGACGGGTGGCGTAGGAAGTCGCAGCAAAGGAGCTGACAGGGGTGGCCATATGGAGGAACCGAGACACAGACATAAGGGGAAGCGATGCTGGTTGGCAGAGGGGTGTTGTTGCGATGCACCCTTCTCTCTGTCAAGTACCCCCACAGACACAAGACCTTCTACACTATTGTTACTCCTGCACTGCTACTGGACAGCTTGGCTTAAAGGGACTACTCAAACACTAAGGGCTCTATTTTCGTGCCTCGCCGGAGACGTGCCGACAAGGCGTTCCCAAGAACAATTTGGTATTTTGGTGAGCAGCGCAGCCCGGCGTAAGTATCCCCCCTTCCTAACTCAGCTCCTCCCAGCGGCGTAAATCGTTGCAAGGGAGGAGAGAGGGCGTGGAGTGGGTTTAACACAGCCGAGACCTGTTTTCACCAATCACATAAGCTCCTCTCCTTTCCTTTAAATCTGCCACCGGCAAGGCGTATTACTATTTTCGTGAAGTAGTCAAAGAGATCAAGAGATGTCTGAAGACAGTTATGCCACACGATGGCGACAAAGGGCAGCAGCTCAACAAGTGTCACTGTAAGCGCTGCATTGGGCATCCTCCACACTCTCTCATATGAGCACAGATGGATTTGGTGTGTGTAAAGTTGGATCCACTGGTAAGAAAAACACCCTTTTCCACTAATTAAGACACTCACATAAAGTTGCATATATTCAAACCTCACATGACAAAGGTGGGTTGTGCGCACAGATCACAACATAAATTCCAAAAATGGCATTAAAATCGGAACCATCTGTGCATAAATGACGCATCATGCTCTGTAGCCGGGCTCTTTCTTTCATAGATGTTGGCATATAAAATAAATTTGGCCCACAAAACTGAATATTATAATATCCGTATGTCGGCTTAAAGTAGATAACGCATCTGATAACTGAAACAAATCATCTGTTCAGCCGCAGCAGCAGCAGGACGGAGAGAGGAAACGGAGACGTGCCCAGGTCGAGCTGTGCGAGAAAAAAGAGGAAGAAGAAGAAAGAAAAGGAGGGAGACGAATTACATATCTAGTTAACTTCATCATGTGTGTTTATTTACTAGATATTTAATTTAATTTGATGCGGTTTCAGCTGTGTTGATTCGGTCAGGTTGTGTGTCCAAACGCGTGCCAAACGCGCTCATCAGTTCAGATATAGATCAGAATATATCTATATAGATCTAAATGTATGTGCTGACTCAGATTATTAGTTGTTGATGATTATTTATTGCACTGAAATGTGCCTGACACTGTGGAAACCTGCCGGTGAGGCATCAGTGACGTATGCCGATACGCCGCCGGTCTACCAAAATACTACTAGACCAGCTGCGCTCTGCCTGCGCTGAAAGCTGACCAGGTTTGAATCGGCAAGCTTTCAGTGCACTTTACACGCCGGTGGCGATCACGAAAATGTCACTGCACCCGCTGATTCTGTCGACACCTCCCCCTGCCACGCCACCACGCCCAGCTTGGCAGATCTCGGTTCGCCTCCGTGCGCCTCAGTCCACGAAAATACCAAACTGGCTGTACGCCGGGCTGCACCAGATGAAAATACAACTGCGCGGGGCTCGCCGCCCTCCGCCGCCTGACCAGCGTACACAAAAATAGAGCCCTAAGTGTCTGACAGCCATTTTTACTTCCCTTAGGACAGACACAAAAAGAAAAAAACACAACAGCAAATCAGAAAACACAATGACAAATAAGAAAATACATCACAAAAAGAAAGAACACAACAGCAAATATGAAAATACAACACAAAAAGAGAAAACAACACAAAAAGAGAAAAAACAACACCAATTTAGAAAACACAACAGCAAATAAGAAAACACAACACAAAAAGTGAAAACACAATGGTCAAAGTCATGTTGTCTGATTTGCCGTTGTGTTTTCTCTTTTGTGTTGTGTTTAGTATTTGCGGTGGTGTTTTATGATTATCTGTTGTGTTTTGCACCTTAGGGCTACTGCACACTTCGCTTCACTTCCTTACAGTTTTTTTTGAATTGCATAAACACTAAAATCAAATTTGCTTCAGCACAATTTTGAGTAAAGGGCTTGGTTTTTCAAAACACTGCACACAAGTAGCGCAACCATACACACAATTAGCAGAAGACCTCAGATCCTTTGCAAAACGAAACACTCTTGTAAAAACTAGCCACTACTTTAGAAAAATGATATTTTGTTACCACATGCAAACACACATGTTTTAAACCAGTTACACACTGCTGTGCTTAACCTACTAAAAAACTTTAGCAATTCTACTTCTCAGTGATTTGAGTAATGTAAGTGAAGTACACAGAGAAATTGCAAATATACAATACAGAAAATTTACCAAATTCAAGACAAGACCAATGCAGCAGAATGACGAAAATATAATTTATTTCTCTCTATATACCTGAATCAGTCAATATTTAAACAAAAGATGTCCATGATACAACAGTAGTTTAAAATAAAATCAAAAAAATTACACACACTCAAAAAAAGAAAAAAGAAAAAAAGATCCAGCGGGGAAAATATTATGGATTATCTCTTTACGATGGACGATAGCTTCATCAGCAAGACAAAGAGGAAAGAACTGCCATGCGTGTTAAATTCATCCTTGAATGGCTATGGCGTCAATTTGCTCACAGGCCTCCTCTATGGCCTGAGCAAGGGGCACCTATGGTTTCTTTAGACATGAACACATTTCCACAGGACAGTGTTACCTCATTATTGAATAGTTGTATTTCATAAATGACTGCATAATCCGTGTAATATGATTCAGGAGTTTAAATTATGTCTATCTGTTCCTGGTGTCCACAGATTCTGGGTTGGCTCCTCATCGCCTCCATCATGTTGTTCAACCTGCTGCTAATCTGCCTGGGTCGTTGCACTTCTCCAATCAGCTACCTGCAGCTCAAGTTCTGGAGGACGTACACTAAGGAGGAGAACAGCCTGCTCAATTCCCGCATTGTCGAACATGCCAGAAAGCTTGCTGGAAGAAACCTCAACAGCTTCTTTACAGACACCCCCCTGAAGCCTTTCAGATCCCCTCTACTGATATGTGGAAGAAGATCTGCCCTTTGTTCAAGTTCGACTCCAGAAAGCAGCTCTACAGTGCTCTGCACTGCTACGTGGAGGAGCAGTGGAAAGATCAGAGAGTGGATCTGGGGATGGTAGAGAGGTCACCCAACTCTGAGCCAACCAGTCCTGCTGGTCGGAGTTTTATGATTAATGGGAACAACGCTCTGCAAAGTGGCACCTCCTCATAATGGCACTGTCTTGTCCTGACTGATTTGCTAAAAATCCTGAAAAGATTTTGATTTTCTGTTTTTAATTGAGGACAATGTGTTGTTTCTTTTGCACAAACATCTAAAATTCATCATCAGAAGAAAATTTTATGTTTATAAAAATCAGTGATTGTATTTCAGTAATTTTTCATAGGTCATATAAAATGAGTTGTGGTTTGTGAATATTTTATGTTTGGGCATTGTTTTTGAGCTAGATTGATCTGGGTTTGGTTTAATATTTTCTCTGTGGTTGTGTCCAGAGGAATGATTTTGGCATTCAAAGAAAATGTTTGTTATGTCTTCAAATGTTTGCATGTTGTGCATTTGATATTCAGGGTCACATGATCATAACAGCTGGAAATAACCATCTGATGTATACTTGTACAAGGTTTTTATTTCTCTGGAAAATACTGAACCGAAATATTAAAGACTACAATAAGACAATGTTTCGGTTACTTTTAATGACTAATAAATCATGTTTAAGGATGTTTTTTAAATCTTGCCCTAATCTTCCACATGTTGCTACAGCAATTTGAAAAAACAAACAGTGGCTTAAAAAGTCACAAAGATAGATCATGCTTTCTTTGTATTTAAATCCTAAAAAAAAAATAGAAAATAAAAATAAAACAAATGGCACATTCACCCTTAAAGTAAAATCAAAGTTTAGCCAACTCTGAGAGTTAATTTCAGAATAACTCAATCTCACTTTATAATCGATAATAACTGACAGTTCGTGTCTGTCAAAATAAAAGCAGGCAGATTCAGCAGAACAGATGGTGTGGATAAGCTGCAGGGACAGACAACCTACTAAAGGTGGGCTGATGGTGTGATAGTCAGTCCCTCGGTGTCACAGCAGCCATTGATGGATCAGATAAAGTCGATCCTGAGTGACTCCACCAGAAGATACACATCTGGTTTAGGGTTGTGGCCGTGATGACGGCAGGAGGGGAGACTATCTTCTTTGTGGTCCTCAGGTGCCCTGCAGCCCGGAGCTGAACTTTGCAGCTGGTGCCGCACTGACTCTGATGATCTTGACAGGTCAGTGCCGGTAGGACTGCAATACACCAGGACTGCCCTGTTCCAGAACAGCACCTTCAAAAACATTCCAGGAGATGCACATATATTTCACAAAACCTGAAATACTTCCACAAAGAACAAAATCATATCAGACTGGCTGATGCTTAAAACCTTTCACAAAAAGAGAGATTTTAAAACAAATCACAGAAACATTTTACAAAACAAAAACATTTCAAAACAGGTCAGTCTATCTCAGATGAACTTGGGTCCACAGAAGCCAGTGTTTCAGGCTGTTGTTGATATTTGTCTTTGTCTCTGCATGATTGAGTTTGAACTTGTAGATTTAGAGAAGAACTGTGTTGACTGAGGAAGGTCTGAATGTTAGTTAGCCCATATGTCATCATTTTGGAAGACTGTCACAAAAACATTTAATCACAAATGACTGTAATGTTTGATCAAAAGGATTTGAGTCATAAACGCAAGTTTGTGGTAAAATCTTACAGAATGATGTGGGTTTTTAACCACAGTGCTGCTGGAGGGGTCAAAGGTCATGGTCATCCAGTGTTGGTTTTGGGCCTTGCTGCTTGCTTGCAAAGATTTCTCTGATTTTCTGAATCTTTCAATGATTTTATGGACTGTAGATGATCAAATGTCTACATTCCTGCAGTTGTATGTTGAGAAACGTTCTTAAACTGTTGGACTCTTTGCTCACACGGTTGTTGACAAAGTGGTGACCTTGGCCCCGCCCTTCTTTTAAACGACTGTTTCTAATGAACCTGTTCACCTGTGGAATGATCCTGCTGGAGATAACAAGGGCAACAGCTGTTCATCAAGCCACTGTAAACACAGAAGTTTAATTGTAGTACACTATAACAGTGACCTCTCTTTACATGGCACGCTTACAATAAATGCTGTTAATAAATATGTCTCCACTGTATACTTTTGACCATATTCTGTGAGAAAGCGCACATTATTTCTATCTATCTGTTATGGAGAGGGACACAGAGAAGGTCTGAGTGTTAGTTAGTCCATACTGTATCATTTTAGCAGACTGTCACAAAAACATTTAATCACAAATGACTATAATATTTGATCAAAAGCTTTTGAGTCATAAGTTTGGTGATACTATAAAAGTGGGTTGTAGTCAGCTCTCTATAGTTTACCACAATTTATCCACGTTAAGTTAAAAAAATAATTTTAATAAAAAGCTACTTTCCTTCACCAATCAATGAAACATACATAATTACACACACACGTACACATCATGAAGGAAAGCAGCTTTTTATTAGAGTTATTTTTTAAACTTAACGTTAAAACTTTTTAGTTTATGTCAAAATCTTATTTTTTAGCAAACAAATAAAAGTCTCAGTTTATATTACGAATTGTAAGGACCAAAAATATATGATTTAAAAGTAATTAAATGGGTTGTTTGTGTTGATTAGTAGATTCAGATACGCCTCTCTACAGGATGTTTGGTTATGGATGGAGTCGCAATCTTTTTAGGTCAGCTGGCACAGGTGCACAGGTCAATCTTTAGTTTGATCTAGGTCGTTTGTGTTGATTAGTAGATTCAGATTTGCCTGTCTAGAGGATGTTTGGTTACTGATGGAGTCGCAATCTTTTGAGGTCAGCTGGCACAGGTGCGCAGGTCAATTTTTAGTATGATCCAGGTCGAGCGGGAGTTTTTTGATATTCTGTACAGTTTTTGACTTGTGAGCTCTATGGAGCCCGCAATCTGTGAAATAAACAGAACAGCCACAGAACTGTGAGTACTGGAATCATTTTATGAATGAAAGTGGACATGTGTCAGGACATCTGTAAAGCTTGTCTCACCCAAGTGGCTCTTAAAAACTGTTAAAGAAGGAATCTGCCACTACAATGGTAGAAGCTATAGCACAGAAAATTAAGGATTGTGCTGAAACCGGTTGTGTTCTTGTGCAGAGCGGTGGAATAATACACTGGAATGATGACAGTGTATTGCATCTGTTATATTTTGTTCACTGTGAGAATGTAGTGCAGTTGGTCCAGAAATGTCAGAATGTGAGCTTTGTTTTAAGAGCCCATATTGGCATGACAGAGGAGGACCCCATTCTGTGTAATGGCAGTGCAGAGGGTGATGTTACCCCCATGCTGTCCTGGGACATTGATTATAGGCCTGTGGCCAATGATGTTTCTACCTCTCTTTCTTGATTTTGTGAGGTTAAACTCGTCTCATCAATGTAGATAAACTCGTGTGGGATTTCTTCAGCATCCATCTATAAAACTCTCTGTTATACAGTGAAATACACAGTAAACTTAGGTTACATGCACAGTGTGTAACATTACAGTGCTAACTCGAACAATACATACCTCCACATATGTCCATGTAGATTCTCATTCATCCAGGTCATGGTTATCTTGAAGACTCTGTAGCAATCAAGACATCCCTGTATGTGAAACTCACACATTCCCCCCAGGAAAGGTTTCTTATCTGGTCCCAGGACACAGAATAGTATAAATCTTTCCAGACTTGTTTGCCCTTTCAGGTTACCTAACTGACCCCACCGGAGGTTGACCGAAATCTCTGGCTCTTCATGATTGGTCAATTTGGAGAACAGAGACAGAGTTTTTATTACCGTTCAAACTGACTCCATCTCTGACCATCTAAATAAACATTAACGCCTCAACCCATGTCTTCCATTTGAGAATTACCGTCTTTAAGTGTGTGAACACACGAGATCCCAGGAAAGGTCTGAGGAGCAGGACACTGACCTCCAGACCTCGGTCGTAAAACCCTGCTCAACCATGTTCTGATAAAAACTGCATACCTTTGGTGAAAGAATACAAATGACTGATAATGACATCTTATGAATTCAGCAATGGACTAATCTGTCCAATCATGAAATTTGTGTTAAAATGAGGTGTTTCCCATTTTTCTATGTGCTCCAGAAGTCGTTTATTTTGTATTTTTAACCATTAGTTGGTTATAATGCCATTGAATAATCTGAATGTGAGTATTTAGAATCCATTATTAATCATGATGAAGTTCATTTACATCTGTTTACTCTTTTGTTGTTCAGTTTCTATGTGTTAGCATCTGTTTTATTTCAGAGTAATTTAGCATGTTCAACGTGATACTTAAAACATAACGAGAACGTTTGATGTGATCCTATATTTCACTCATGTGTTTAGTATCAAATTATTTATCATGAAACCAAGCATTTAGTGATATTAATCATAGTGAGTGAGTATCAGATCTGACTCTTTTACCAGCCAAAAGTATGTTAGATCAAATAATCAGGGATCCAAGCGGTCTCCTCTGCAGATGGAGACCCCACGACCCCTCCTCTTTCTCCTGACACACACCCCAGAGACACTCCCAGTCTGAAGGAGATAAAACCAGTAAAGTTGGAGGTGATTATTCTCTTATGTTTCTTCAGCAACATAAGAGAATTCTTATTTCTCTTATGCTCTTAGTCTCTTTTTCCTCCCGCTTGTTTTCCCGTGTCTTCTCTTAGCCCTCTTCTTTGTTTTCTCTTAGCTCTTACTACTTAGTCTTACTTTTTCTTAGTCTTCTAAGTTTTACGCCACGTGTTCATTCACGTTGATTTTTCTTGAACATCATCTTAGTTCAAGTTTTGAAACTTCAAATTTCGCAGTCATTTTTTAAATAGTTTCGACTGGTCATCAAGCCTCTTTTTCTGAGTCATCTGCATGATTTCAAAGTCACCTCTGAATGCCACCCAGTAGGCCCAAAGTCATCCTCTGTGCCAGAGTTTTTGAGTGAGACGATAGGAGCATCCAAAGGAAAATCTGAAGGATCCACAAGCGCTGGTTTTTGCTTCGGGACCGAGTGCTGCAACTCCTGGCCCATCCTTCAGCTGACTTCAGTCGTCTTCTGAGCTGAACCGCTCGAACCGCCGGTAGCAATCTTCCCCAAGGACCAGTCTCACTTACTGTATGTATGCAAACCTCCAGAGCTCCAAAAAGGGCTGATGCTGTCTCATGCGGTCATGACTCAGATATTCACTTATTCTGGTAATCCTAGGTTCATCCAAATCCACATCCGAATTTATCTTGACACCAAAGTTAGTGTAGGTTAATATGTTAGAGCATATTCACTCACTATCATTAACTCTAGTGCTCCTAGCCTGACTTAGATTCTTTTGTTCATCGATTATTATTTATCCTCATTATCTTATTATCATTTATTGCATGTATGTTGTACCATAATTTATCCTGTAATAAACAGATCATTATTTTTCTAAGTTCCTGTCTGTTAGTGCTCTTCCAGAGGTGGAGTCCCTGAAATAAGAATTTTGGCTTAAGATATGAGATTGATTAATTTAAGATTTACATAATGTTTGATTTCTGAATTAAACTTTTGTTTTTCTTTCTTTTTTTTCCCACCATCAAAGGTGGGTGGTGCCCCTTCAACAAGTGCATAGATGTCATAATTTAAGATTATTAATCTTCAGACATTTATTATAAATTCAAATTGCTACATCTTTCTCTACCTCCTTCTCCTCTTCACATTCATCCTCTCATTCTCACTGTTCCTTGTCTTACTCATTCCATTGTGGTTGAAGACAGGTGAACTCACCTGCTGCCTTTTTGTAGTGCTAGAACCTGACTGGTGTGTCTACAATTACAGTTTTTTTTTTCAAGTGCTTCAGCACGATTTTGAATAGAGGGCTCGGTTTCTCAAAACACTACACACAATTAGCAGAAGTCCTCAGACCTTTGCAAAATGAAACATTCTTGTAAAAACTATACACTACTTTAAAAAAAAAAAGATATTTTGTTCCCATATGAAAACACACACGTTTCATATTACTTAATTCTGTCTGAACCAGTTACACACTGCTTAACCTAAAACACTTTTAGCAATTCTACTTCTCAGTGAGTTGAGTAATGTAAGTGAAGTACACAGAGAAAGTGTAAGTGTACAATACAAAAAATTCACGAATGCAACACAAGAATGATGCAGAATGATGAAAATATAATTTATTTCTCTCTATATACCTGAATCAGTCAATATTCAAACAAAAGATGTCCATGCTACAACAGTAGTGTGCAAAACACTAAAAAAATATAATTACAAACACACACACACACACAAAAAAAAAATACAATAAAAAAATATGGGGGAAAAAAAACTGACTACATCTTAGGCAATATCTTCATTAGCAAGACAACAAGGGTAGAACTGCTGTGGATGTTAAATCCATCCTTGAATGGCTATGGCATCACTTTGGTCACATGTCTCCTCCATGGCCTAAATGATGGGCACCTGCCTTTTTGTCATGCTTGAACCTACAATTAAGCAATTATGTGTTGGTGCACCTGAGTGTTGTGTTTAACCAATTGGCTAATGAGTGTGGTCATTTGAAAGTCAGTGCTTTGGAATTTGCAAGGAAGTGACATCATGATATGCTTCTGTGTCTAATGTATACAAGTGTGTTCAGTGTTTTGCAATTCAATGTCTGCAGTTTCTTTTTCTTCTTCTCTTGTTTTCTTTTCATGTTTCTGCTCTTTACAGCAGTTTGCTTTGATTTGAATTGATGTGCACCAAATGAGGATTTCAAACTTGATTTCTAAATACAAAGAAAATTTATCAAAAAAAAAAAGAAAAACTTTGGAGTGTCACAGAAACACAAAGTTATCTCCTGAAAGCTCTCAGCTTCACAAAGCTAGTGGATTTTGCAGAAAGTCACTTCAATGTAGCATCAATTCATAAGGCTGAGATTGTTATCAACAACACTGAGTTTATAAAACAGCATCAACCACATGAATGACTTTACCCTGAATAGATGCCAGACTTGAGTCAATGAGGTAATTTCTGTCTGTCAGAGGAAAACTTCTTCATCATAATAAATTAAATAATGTTTTTTTGTTCAAGAATCTTTCCTTTGAAAAATTATATTTTACACATTTTTCTTTTACATTCAGGTCTCATTTATGGTTTAATAATTGTTTTTGTACATCCAAACAGAAAGGAATTGATGATTGATGAGCACAAAGATAATATGAGAACAAAAACATGTAAAGAGAAGGAAAATAACGCCAAAAAATATAAAACAAGGTAAATCCACCTCCAATCAATATTTACAATCATTTCAGAAAATTAATAATAATAATAATAATAATAATAATAATAATAATAATACATTTTATTTAAAAGCACCTTTCTGGACACCCAAGGACACTGTACAGGGCATTAAGAACACAGTTAAAACACAGTTAAAATAAATAAAAACAACATACAGGATAAAACAGATGAATAAAAACTAGGACCCCGTTGGGGCACTCGCGGGCCCGAGCTGTGTCGCGTCCCCCCCCCAACGCGCTGCCTCCCCGTCCCATTTGTGTCCTCTGGCCATCGCCCTCTCTGGTAACGCCCATCACTGCAAAGACCCTTTTCCTTCATCGGCATTTGCTGTTCTTCCTGCCAGTGCGTGTTGCTTTCACTTACACTTGCCACAGCCAGCCTCGTGAGTGCCTAGCCTATTGGATATCACTGTCACCTACACAGGACAGTCATTACCTTTCTATTAATACTTTGTTTTTTAATTCCACATTAATTTCCATATTGTATAAACAACTGGAAAAAACTTGAGCCCCTGCCCCTGTATAATCATGTGCACGTCTCTGTTCTAGCTCTAAGGTGAATCTTCACTGCTCATGTTCTCCTCAGAAGCAGTCACCTCACTCCCCTCAGGTTACTGTACACATGCACCAACTGCCTGCTTCAGGTTTGGATGGAGCTTCATGGTTGTCTTTTGGAGAAATGACCAGTCAAGTTGTGTTTGAAATTTGATTTTTTTCAGGGGCAAAAGGAGCCTCTGCATTCTTGTCAAATATGTAAATAGCATGTTTTTGCAGGTGCTAAAAACCAGACTCTGAGTGTGTGCGTGTGTGTGTGTGTCTGTGTGTGTGTGTGTGTGTGTGCGTTCAAGTCACATGACATATTTAACCGGATGTAGCTGCAAGACGGAGCCTCGTCGACTCTCCGTTTCAACTTATCTCAAAAGTGAGGACCTCAACCTATATACCAGTTTTTAAATTGTGTTGATAGGCCAAATAAAACCAGAGTTATGATAAATTATGTCCGCGATACTTTTTTTCTGCTTATTTTGATCACGTTCGGCGCTCGATCGCGCTGTATGAGACAGGAAAACATAGCATGCAGACATTAGCGACAGGTCTTACAGGCGGAAAAGGCTTGCCAAAGGAAAAAAAAAACACACCACAACATCTCTCCTATTGGTGGAAAACTTCACCACAACAACCAATCCAAAATTATATGGTGACTGATTGACAAGGGGCGGGCGCTTACGTTCTTCCTGCAATATGAGAAGGGAGGGAGGGACTCTCAGCAGGGATGCAGTCTGGGACACGTAGTTGCAAACCTAGCGACTTTGTTGTTAGATTCAATGACTTTTCAGACCCCCTAACGACTTTTTTTAGAAAGAAAGTGACTTTTATCGACTTCTTCTGGAGTTTAGAGACTCTGACATGAAGCAGGCTTTCCTTACTGAGGAGTTAGCAACGCTGCTAAGGGTGCAGAGCCACACATGCGCTCCGAGCTCTGCATGGGAGACTGAAGCTGACAGAGCTGCAGCAGTTAGCAGGTTTCACCCTCAGAGACCACCAGGGGTTCATGTTGAGGCATTTTCAGTTTTTTTTTTTTTTTTGCCATAGACACTGTCAGCACAATCTGCAGTTACACTAACAAAAATGCTGCAAAAAACAAAGAATTATGGAAAAATTACACATGGACTAACATAGAGGAGGATCTACACAAGTTTTTTTACATCATGTTTTACATCATGCATCATTTACATCATGTTTTTTTGTAGTGGCATAAATAAAAAGTGACATTTGTGAGACTATACAGTGTTTTGTAAATAATTTTACAAAGAACACCTGGGCCATTGCCTGCATTTTGATGTAAATAGAGGTAAATTACTACGTTCTTTGTTAAAAAATTTGCATATGTTTTGAAGTTTACAATTTTTATTTGAAGTTTAAGTTTTAAAAACAGTTCATCACACATATTTGTGGTTTTCACAGTAAAAACGTTACTTTTTTCCACTCGGATTTTATGTTTTGTGTGTGAATTTGGGTCCAAATATAGTATGTCAGAATGATAAAATAACTGTAAATTGACACAGGTGAGGTTGTGCTGAAAAAAATGATACCAGGCAAGGTAAGGTAAAAATTTTGTAAGAGGAAATATAAAGGTAAAATCTAAAGTAGTCAAAAACGGCCAATAGTGACTCACAGACTCCACAGACAAGTCCCTTTGGCGCCACTCAGTGGGCAAAACTACTTTGTCTACTGTAATGTATATTTGGGTCATCTTTGGCGCCCCCTAAAACGTAAACAGTGGGGTGCAGCGTCATGATTTTTACAACTTTGAATGGCCATGGAGTGTAGATTGGCCTGAGCAAATTTGGTGTCAGTGGGACGAAAGCCTTAGGAGGAGTTAGCGAAATTCCAATGTGTGCGAATCGGCAAAAAATGCATAATAGCCCTTTTACCGTACATTATACAGATACGCGCTCTTTGACTTTTTCGTAGATCTAATTGAGATACACATGATTGTCAATTTTTGTGTCATTTTGCCAAAGCGCACAGGCGTGACAGTCAACAATGTGTATTTTCACCTTAGGGGACAAGAAAAAATGGACTTTTTTCTCCTGCCATGGGGGGGCGCTCTTTTAGGGAGTAAAAATTCCTTCACAAATGTGTTGATGGCTGGACATTGCATCATCCTAGAAAACTTGGAGGCCGGTGAGGACAAAAATAAAAAGTTATAAGACTTTTAAAACTGTGGATTTTTGGGTTATCTTTGGCGCCCCCTAGAACGTAAACCGTGGGGTGCAGCGTCATGATTTGAATAACTTTTAATGGCCATGGGGTGTAATTTGGCCTGAGCAAATGTGGTGCCGGTGGAACGAAAGCCTTCGGAGGAGTTAGCGAAATTCCAATGTGTGCGAATCGGCAAAAAATGCGGAATAACCCTTTAACCGTACATTTGACAGATACGCGCGCATGGACTTTTTTGTAGATCTTATTGAGATACATGTGTGTTTCAATTTTTGTGTCATTTTGACAAAGCGTACAGGCGTGACACTCAACGATGTGTATTTTCACCTTAAGGGACAAGAAAAAATGGACTTTTTTCTCCTGCCATGGGGGGGCGCTCTTTTGGGGAGTAAAAATTCCTTCACAAATGTGTTGATGGCTGGACATTGCATCATCCTAGAAAACTTGGAGGCCAGTGAGGGCAAAAATAAAAAGTTATAAGACTTTTAAATATGTGGATTGTAGGGTTATCTTTGGCGCCCCCTAGAACCTAAACCGTGGGGTGCAGCATCATGATTTGAATAACTTTTAATGGCCATGGGGTGTAGATTGGCCTGAGCAAATGTGGTGCCGGTGGAACGAAAGCCTTCGGAGGAGTTAGCGAAATTCCAATGTGTGCGGATCGGCAAAAAATGCGAAATAACCCTTTAACCGTACATTTGACAGATACGCCCGCACTGACTTTTTTGTAGATCTTATTGAAATACATGTGTGTGTCAATTTTTGTGTCATTTTGACAAAGCGTACAGGCGTGACAGTCAATAGTGTGAATTTTCACCTTAGGGGGCGCTATGGAGCCATTTTGCATTTTCTTGTTTGGGCGACTTCGGAATATCAAATTTTTCACCAGGCCCGGTCATCCTGCCAAATTTCATGAGTTTTTGCCAGTGGGAAGTGGGCCATTTTCCAGTTCAAAGGGGAGGAAAAAGAAGAAACTAGGGCCCCGGTGGGGCACTGGCGGGCCCGAGCCGTGTCGCGCCGCCCCCAGCGCGACCGCCTACCCCTCCCGATTGCGTCACACTCAAGGTCCAAAGATGGTGTGCGCACTTGTCTGTGGTCATTTACCATTATAATGAATGGGAGGCGCAGTTTCTACCAAAACGCTCGCTGCAGACAAACTCCATGTCCTTTTTGAAAAAAGTCTGGACCATGAGTGAGGGCACAAACACAGCTAGTATATATCCAAATGGCAAGTTGCTCCTCCTTTCGGTTTTGCCGAGAGAGCGATGCGTTTGAGCCATTGAGCGATGGGCAGGAAAAACTTGACTTTTTCTCGTGCCATCGGGGGAGAGAATGTGGATTCTTTTAAAAATGTGGATATTTGGGTCCTCTTTGGCGCCCCCTAGAACCTAAACCGTGGGGTGCAGCGTCATGATTTTTACAACTTTGAATGGCCATGGGGTGTAGATTGGCCTGAGCAAATTTGGTGTCAGTGGGACGAAAGCCTTAGGAGGAGTTAGCCACATTCCAATGTGTGCGAATCGGCAAAAAATGCGAAATAGCCCTTTAACCGTACATTTTACAGATACGCGCGCATTGACTTTTTTGTAGATCTTATTGAGATACATGTGTGTGTCAATTTTTGTGTCAATATGACAAAGCGTATAGGCGTGACATTCAACAATGTGTATTTTTGCCTTGGGGGACAAGAAAAAATTGACTTTTTTCTCCTGCCATGGGGGGGCGCTCTTTTGGCGAGTAAAAATTCCTTCACAAATGTGTTGATGGCTGGACATTGCATCATCCTAGAGAACTTGGAGGCCAGTGAGGACAAAAATAAAAAGTTATAAGACTTTTAAGACTGTGGATTTTTGGGTTATCTTTGGCGCCCCCTAGAACCTAAACCGTGGGGTGCAGCGTCATGATTTGTACAACTTTGAATGGCCATGGGGTGTAGATTGGCCTGAGCAAATGTGGTGCTGGTGGAACGAAAGCCTTCGGAGGAGTTAGCGAAATTCCAATGTGTGCGGATCTGCAAAAAATGCGAAATAACCATTTAACCATACATTTGACAGATACGCCCGCACTGACTTTTTTGTAGATCTTATTGAGATACATGTGTGTGTCAATTTTTGTGTCAATATGACAAAGCGTACAGGCGTGACAGTCAATAGTGTGAATTTTCACCTTAGGGGGCGCTATGGAGCCATTTTGCATTTTATTGTTTGGGCGACTTCAGAATATCGAATTTTTCACCAGGCCCGGTCGTCCTGCCAAATTTCATGAGTTTTCGCCAGTGGGAAGTGGGCCATTTTCCAGTTTAAAGCGGAGGAAAAATAATAATAATAATAACTAGGGCCCCGTTGGGGCACTGGCGGGCCCGAGCCGCGTTGCGCCGCCCCCAGTGCGACCGCCTCCCCCTCCCGATCGCGTCACACTCAAGGTCCAAAGATGGTGTGCGCACTTGTCTGTGGTCATTTCCCATTATAATGAATGGGAGGCGCAGTTTCTACCAAAACACTCGCTGCAGACAAACTACATGTCCTATTTGAAAAAAGTCTGGACCATGAGTGAGGGCACAAACACAGCTAGGATATATCCAAACGGCAAGTTGCTCCTCGTTACGGTGTTGCCGGGAGAGCGATGCGATTGAGCCATTGAGTGATGGGCAGGAAAAACTTGACTGTTTCTCCTGCCATGGGGGATGGGGGATGGGAGGGGGGGGAAAGGGATGTGGATTCTTTTAAGAATGTGGATATTTGGGTCATCTTTGGCGCCCCCTAGAACGTAAACCGTGGGGTGCAGCGTCATGATTTTTAAAACTTTGAATGGCCATGGGGTGTAGATTGGCCTGAGCAAATTTGGTGTCAGTGGGACGAAAGCCTTAGGAGGAGTTAGCCACATTCCAATGTGTGCTAATCAGCAAAAAATGCAAAATAGCCCTTTAACCGTACATTTTACAGATACGCGCGCATTGACTTTTTCGTAGATCTTATTGAGATACATGTGTGTGTCAATTTTTGTGTCAATATGACAAAGCATACAGGTATGACAGTCAACAATGTGTATTTTCACCTTATGGGACAAGAAAAAATGGACTTTTTTCTCCTGCCATGGGGGGGCGCTCTTTTAGGGAGTAAAAATTCCTTCACAAATGTGTTGATGGCTGGACATTGCATCATCCTAGAAAACTTGGAGGCCAGAGAGGACAAAAATAAAAAGTTATAAGACTTTTAAATATGTGGATTTTTGGGTTATCTTTGGCGCCCCCTAGAACCTAAACCGTGGGGTGCAGCGTCATGATTTGAATAACTTTTAATGGCCATGGGGTGTAGATTGGCCTGAGCAAATGTGGTGCCGGTGGAACGAAAGCCTTCGGAGGAGTTAGCGAAATTCCAATGTGTGCGGATCGGCAAAAAATGCGCAATAACCCTTTAACCGTACATTTGACAGATACGCCCGCACTGACTTTTTTGTAGATCTTATTGAGATACATGTGTGTGTCAATTTTTGTGTAATTTTGACAAAGCGTACAGGCGTGACAGTCAATAGTGTGAATTTTCACCTTATGGAACAAGAAAAAATGGACTTTTTTCTCCTGCCATGGGGGGGCGCTCTTTTGGGGAGTAAAAATTCCTTCACAAATGTGTTGATGGCTGGACATTGCATCATCCTTGAAAACTTGGAGGCCAGTGAGGGCAAAAATAAAAAGTTATAAGACTTTGAAATATGTGGATTTTAGGGTTATCTTTGGCGCCCCCTAGAACATAAACCGTGGGGTGCAGCGTCATGATTTGAATAACTTTTAATGGCCATGGGGTGTAGATTGGCCTGAGCAAATGTGGTGCCGGTGGAACGAAAGCCTTCGGAGGAGTTAGCGAAATTCCAATGTGTGCGGATCGGCAAAAAATGCGAAATAACCCTTTAACCGTACATTTGACAGATACGCCCGCACTGACTTTTTTGTAGATCTTATTGAGATACATGTGTGTGTCAATTTTTGTGTCATTTTGACAAAGCGTACAGGCGTCAGGTGAATTTTTCACCTTAGGGGGCGCTATGGAGCCATTTTGCATTGTATTGTTTGGGCGACTTCAGAATATCAAATTTTTCACCAGGCCCGGTCGTCCTGCCAAATTTCATGAGTTTTCGCCAGTGGGAAGTGGGCCATTTTCCAGTTCAAAGGGGAGGAAAAATAATAATAACAAAAGAAGGAAACATGCAGGAACAAGAGGGCTCTCGCAGCTGCTTAGCAGCTACGCTCGGGCCCTAACTAGGGCCCCGTTGGGGCACTGGCGGGCCCGAGCCGTGTCGCGCTGCCCCCCCCCAACGCGCTGCCTCCCCGCCCCATTCGCGTCCTCTGGCCATCGCCCTCTCTGGTAACGCCCATCACTGCAAAGACCCTTTCCTTCATCGGCGTTTGCTGTTCTTCCTGCCAGTGCGTGTTGCTTTCACTTACACTTGCCACAGCCAGCCTCGTGAGTGCCTAGCCTATTGGATATCACTGTCATCTACACAGGACAGTCATAACCTTTCTATTAATACTTGTTTTTTAATTTCACATTAATTTCCATATTGTATAAATGACTGGAAAAAACTTGAGCCCCTGCCCCTGTATAATCATGTGCACGTCCCTGTTCTAGCTCCAAGGTGAATCTTCACTGCTCATGTTCTCCTCAGAAGTAGTCACCTCACTCCCCTCAGGTGACTGTACACATGCACCAACTGCCTGCTTCAGGTTTGGATGGAGCTTCATGGTTGTCTTTTGGAGAAATGAGCAGTCAAGTTGTGTTTGAAATTTGATTTTTTTCAGGGGCAAAAAGGGGCCTCTGCATTCTAGTCAAATATGTAAATAGCATGTTTTTGCAGGTGCTAAAAAAAAGACTCTGAGTGTGTGTGTGTGTATATCCTGCAGTACTCTGAGAAGAATAATAAGCATATTTCTGAGGTGAATTTTGAAGATTCTTCTGAGAGTTAGGAGGGCTGATCATTCCCTTTCCCTTTAGATGTCTGTCTATGTCTGTTTTTGTGTGATAATGAAAGAATCCCAACTCAAAAAGGCTCTGTTGATGTTTTTTTTGTTGTTGTTCATTCATATTCAAACCACTATTTTATATCACTGCTAATACGCCAAGACCATTTTATGGAATTTAGCTTTATTATTTCTATACATTTTGCAAGGAAAGAAACCAAGGCCTTCACTAAAATTTCCATAAACTTTAGAAAAGGACCTCTGGTTGTTTAACGGGGTCATTACTGCAAAAACATATTCTTCCTAAATTTTGAAGGTCAAACCTTAGATCCATTAGGTTTAAATAGAAAAAGCATTAAAATATGTTAGGATTATAGCATATGACAAATATGTGCCTTTCAGTGGCCACAACTACTTTGTCTGCTGGCTCTGCAGTCGATTGACGCTCCCCAGCGTTCAAGTCACATTACATATTTAACCGGATGTAGCAGCAAGACGGAGCCTCGTTGACTCTCCGTTTCAACTTATCTCAAAAGTGAGGACCTCAAACTATACACCAGTTTTCAAATTGTGTTGATAGGCCAAATAAAACCAGAGTTATGATAAATTATGTCCGCGATACTTTTTTTCTGCTTATTTTGATCACGTTCGGCGCTCGATCGCGCTGTATGAGACAGGAAAACATAGCATGCAGACATTAGCGACAGGTCCTACAGGCGGAAAAGGCTTGCCAAAGAAAAAAAAAAAACACACCACAACATCTCTCCTATTGGTGGAAAACTTCACCACAACAACCAATCCAAAATTATATGGTGACTGATTGACAAGGGGCGGGCGCTTACGTTCTTCCTGCAACATGAGAAGGGAGGGAGGAACTCTCAGCAGGGATGCAGTCTGGGACACGTAGTTGCAAACCTAGCGACTTTGTTGTTAGATTCAATGACTTTTCAGACCCCCTAACGACTTTTTTTTTAGAAAGAAAGGGACTTTTATCGACTTCTTCTGGAGTTTAGAGACTCTGACATGAAGCAGGCTTTCCTTACTGAGGAGTTAGCAACGCTGCTAAGGGTGCAGAGCCACACATGCGCTCCGAGCTCTGCATGGGAGACTAAAGCTGACAAAGCTGCAGCAGTTAGCAGGTTTCACCCTCAGAGACCACCAGGGGTTCATGTTGAGGCATTTTCAGTTTTTTTTTTTTTTTTTGCCATAGACACTGTCAGCAAAATCTGCAGTTACACTAACAAAAATGCTGCAAAAAACAAAGAATTATGGAAAAATTACACATGGACTGACATAGAGGAGGATCCACACAAGTTTTTTACATCATGTTTTACATCATGCATCATTTACATCATGTTTTTTTGTAGTGGCATAAATAAAAAGTGACATTTGTGAGACTATACAGTGTTTTGTAAATAATTTTACAAAGAACGCCTGGGCCATTGCCTGCATTTTGATGTAAATAGAGGTAAATTACTATGTTCTTTGTTAAAAATTTGCATGTGTTTTGAAGTTTACAATTTTTATTTGAAGTTTAAGTTTTAAAAACAGTTCATCACACATATTTGTGGTTTAATTTCACATTAATTTCCATATTGTATAAATGACTGGAAAAAACTTGAGCCCCTGCCCCTGTATAATCATGTGCACGTCCCTGTTCTAGCTCCAAGGTGAATCTTCACTGCTCATGTTCTCCTCAGAAATAGTCACCTAACTCCCCTCAGGTTACTGTACACATGCACCAACTATCTGCTTCAGGTTTGGATGGAGCTTCATGGTTGTCTTTTGGAGAAATGAACAGTCAAGTTGTGTTTGAAATTTGATTTTTTTCAGGGGCAAAAGGAAGCCTCTGCATTCTTGTCAAATATGTAAACAGCATGTTTTTGCAGGTGCTAAAAAACAGACTCTGAGTGTGTGTGTGTGTGTGTGTGTGTGTGTGTGTGTGTGTGTGTGTGTGTGTGTATGTTGGCGTGTGTGTATATGTGTGTGTATCCTGCAGTACTCTGTACTCCTGCAGTGGCCAAAAAGACTTTTAAGAATGTGGATTTTTGGGTCATCTTTGGCGCCCCCTAGAACTGCAGTACTCTGTACTCCTGCAGTGGCCAAAATGACTTTTAAGAATGTGGATTTTTGGGTCATCTTTGGCGCCCCCTAGAACGTAAACCGTGGGGTGCAGCGTCATGATTTTTACAACTTTGAATGGGCATGGGGTGTAGATTGCCCTGAGCAAATTTGGTATCGGTGGGACGAAAGCCTTAGGAGGAGATAGCCACATTCCAATGTGTGCGAATCGGCAAAAAATGCAAAATAGCCCTTTAACCGTACATTATACAGATACGCACTCTTTGACTTTTTCGTAGATCTAATTGAGATACACATGATTGTCAATTTTTGTGTCAATATGACATAGCGTTCAGGCGTGACACTCAACAATGTGTATTTTCATGTAAGGGGACAAGAAAAAATTGACTTTTTTCTCCTACCATGGGGGGGCGCTCTTTTGGGGAGTAAAAATTCCTTCACAAATGTGTTGATGGCTGGACATTGCATCATCCTAGAAAACTTGGAGGCCAGTGAGGACAAAAAAAAAAGTTATAAAACATTTAAGAATGTGGATTTTTGGGTTATTTTTGGCGCCCCCTAGAACCTAAACCATGGGGTGCAGCATCATGATTTGAATAACTTTTAATGGCCATGGGGTGTAGATTGGCCTGAGCAAATGTGGTGCCGGTGGAACGAAAGCCTTCGGAGGAGTTAGCGAAATTCCAATGTGTGCGTATCGGCAAAAAAGGGGAATAACCCTTTAACCGTACATTTGACAGATACGCGCGCATTGACTTTTTTGTAGATCTTATTGAGATACATGTGTGTGTCAATTTTTGTGTCATTTTGCCAAAGCGTACAGGCGTGACACTCTACAATGTGTATTTTCACCTTAGGGGACAAGAAAAAATTGACTTTTTTCTCCTGCCATGGGGGGGCGCTCTTTTGGCGAGTAAAAATTCCTTCACAGATGTGTTGATGGCTGGACATTGCATCATCCTAGAAAACTTGGAGGCCAGTGAGGACAAAAATAAAAAGTTATAAGACTTTTAAATATGTGGATTTTAGGGTTATTTTTGGCGCCCCCTAGAACCTAAACCGTGGGGTGCAGCGTCATGATTTGAATAACTTTTAATGGCCATGGGGTGTAGATTGGCCTGAGCAAATGTGGTGCCGGTGGAACGAAAGCCTTCGGAGGAGTTAGCGAAATTCCAATGTGTGCGGATCGGCAAAAAATGCGGAATAACCCTTTAACCGTACATTTGACAGATACGCCCGCACTGACTTTTTTGTAGATCTTATTGAGATACATATGTGTGTCAATTTTTGTGTCAATATGACAAAGCGTACAGGCGTGACAGTCAATAGTGTGAATTTCCACCTTAGGGGGCGCTATGGAGCCATTTTGCATTTTATTGTTTGGGCGACTTCAGAATATCGAATTTTTCACCAGGCCCGGTCGTCCTGCCAAATTTCATGAGTTTTCGCCAGTGGGAAGTGGGCCATTTTCCAGTTCAAAGGGGAGGAAAAAGAAGAAACTAGGGCCCCGTTGGGGCACTGGCGGGCCCGAGCCGTGTCACGCCGCCCCCAGCGCGACCGCCTCCCCCACCCGATCGCGTCACACTCAAGGTCCAAAGATGGTGTGCGCACTTGTTTGTGGTCATTTACCATTATAATGAACGGGAGGCGCAGTTTCTACCAAAACGCTCGCTGCAGAAAAACTCCATGTCCTATTTGAAAAAAGTCTGGACCATGAGTGAGGGCACAAACACAGCTAAGATATATCCAAATGGCAAGTTGCTCCTCCTTTTGCTTTTGCCGAGAGAGCAGTGCGTTTGAGCCATTGAATGATGAACAGGAAAAACTTGACTTTATTCTCCTGCCATGGGGGGGCGCTCTTTTAAAGAGAAAAAACTCCTTCACAAATGTGTTGATGGCTGGACATTGCATCATCCTAGAAAACATGGAGGCCAGTGAGGACAAAAATAAAAAGTTATAAGACTTTTAAATATGTGGATTTTAGGTTTTTTTGGCGCCCCCTAGAACCTAAACCGTGGGGTGCAGCGTCATGATTTGAATAACTTTTAATGGCCATGGGGTGTAGATTGGCCTGAGCAAATGTGGTGCCGGTGGAACGAAAGCCTTCGGAGGAATTAGCGAAATTCCAATGTGTGCGAATCTGCAAAAAATGCGAAATAACCCTTTAACCGTACATTTTACAGATACGTGGCCATTGACTTTTTCGAAGATCTTATGTAAATACACGTGTATGTAAAATTTTGTGTCAATACGACAAAACATACAGGCGTAGCACTCAACAATGTGTATTTTCACCTTAGGGGACAAGAAAAAATGGACTTTTTTCTCCTGCCATGGGGGGGCGCTCTTTTGGGGAGTAAAAATTCCTTCACAAATGTGTTGATGGCTGGACATTGCATCATCCTAGAAAACTTGGAGGCCAGTGAGGGCAAAAATAAAAAGTTATAAGACTTTTAAATATGTGGATCTTAGGGTTATCTTTGGCGCCCCCTAGAACCTAAACCGTGGGGTGCAGCGTCATGATTTGAATAACTTTTAATGGCCATGGGGTGTAGATTGGCCTGAGCAAATGTGGTGCCGGTGGAACGAAAGCCTTCGGAGGAGTTAGCGAAATTCCAATGTGTGCGGATCGGCAAAAAATGCGAAATAACCCTTTAACCGTACATTTGACAGACACGCCCGCACTGACTTTTTTGTAGATCTTATTGAGATACATGTGTGTGTCAATTTTTGTGTCATTTTGACAAAGCGTACCGGCGTGACAGTGAATAGTGTGAATTTTCACCTTAGGGGGCGCTATGGAGCCATTTTGCATTTTCTTGTTTGGGCGACTTCGGAATATCAAATTTTTCACCAGGCCCGGTCGTCCTGCCAAATTTCATGAGTTTTCGCCAGTGGGAAGTGGGCCATTTTCCAGTTCAAAGGGGAGGAAAAATAATAATAATAATAATAACAAAAGAAGGAAACTACAGGAACAAGAGGGCTCTCGCAGCTGCTTAGCAGCTACGCTCGGGCCCTAAGAAAGAAAGAAAGAAAGAAAGAAAGAAACAAAGAAAAACCACTTGGGGAATAATAGGGCCTACGCCCGGCTGCTCTGCAGCTGGCTCGGGCCCTAATAACAAAAGAAGAATCCATCAGGAACAAGAGGGCTCTCGCAGCTGCTTAGCAGCTACGCTCGGGCCCTAACTAGGGCCCCGTTGGGGCACTGGCGGGCCCGAGCCGTGTCGCCCCCCCCCCCCCCCCCAACGCACTGCCTCCCCGTCCCATTCGTGTCCTCTGGCCATCGCCCTCTCTGGTAACGCCCATCACTGCAAAGACCCTTTTCCTTCATCGGCGTTTGCTGTTCTTCCTGCCAGTGCGTGTTGCTTTCACTTACACTTGCCACAGCCAGCCTCGTGAGTGCCTAGCCTATTGGATATCACTGTCACCTACACAGGACAGTCATACTTTGTTTTTTAATTTCACATTAATTTCCATATTGTATAAACGACTGGAAAAAACTTGAGCCCCTGCCCCTGTATTATCATGTGCACGTCCCTGTTCTAGCTCCAAGGTGAATCTTCACTGCTCATGTTCTCCTCAGAAGCAGTCACCTCACTCCCCTCAGGTTACTGTACACATGCACCAACTGCCTGCTTCAGGTTTGGATGGAGCTTCATGGTTGTCTTTTGGAGAAATGAGCAGTCAAGTTGTGTTTGAAATTTGATTTTTTTCAGGGGCAAAAGGAAGCCTCTGCATTCTTGTCAAATATGTAAATAGCATGTTTTTGCAGGTGCTAAAAAACAGACTCTGAGTGTGTGTGT